CTTTAGCAATGGGATTCGATTCAAACACACACACACACATAATATAACGATGCTGTTATATATACATATATCTTTTGAAATGTGTTACACACAGTAACAGTAGCCTAGCGCACTCCATTGGGCCAGCCTTTGTTGCCTCATCAGCATACGGATTAGTATGTAATTTGTAAAATTGATCTGCGACTGCGAATTGTCTTCTGAAACTAACTACACTCGTACTGCTTACGCTCTGCCATTTCTGAAAATTTAAATAATATGCAAATTCATTGAACAATTTAACTTGATTAAATAAAGAATTGATTGAAAGTGCGTATAATTTGATCTGGTAACAAGGCCAATGTGTATTGTGTGTGTTTCATCTTAACCGACGGAATAGCGTACATCCTAGCAAACGGTGAATCATTACTTCATCATATCCTTTCTCTATGCTTCAATTACCGCAGCTCTACACTTGCGGGCTAATGACTTGCTACATGTCGTTTTTATTTCGTTTTGTTACAATTTTCAACTTCGAGGTGGAAAAATGTCGAAAATTAAAAATCATTAAATAAATTTCGGCAAACCGTGTGCCCAACACAAAGGAATGTCTAGCGTAATTTCAACAACACCGAAGCTATAATTATTTGTCGCTTATACACTTATAATTCATGATTCACCAAAAAACTGGAGTGAAAAGCGTTTCAAGTTTTCACCCGAGCATATTTTTTCCGTTCATTTCTTTGGTTTTTCAATGAGTTTAGCTAACATGACGTCAGCAAACGCATATCTGTTTGATCTTTACGGCTTTAGAAAAAACAACACTGATATCTATGGAAGCGGCGCCACAAATTGGAATCATTTTAGCTCCGTTATGACCATTCAACAATCCAGAGTTTGGCTGCGAAAGAACGAGCGATAGAGGAGGAGAGAGAGAGAGAGAGAGAGAGAGAGAGAGAGAGGGTGAGCTTTATACACATCACAAAAAGTATACACTTCTTTAGCCAAAATTATGAGTGTTATGCTATTGTTCATCATCGCTCATTACCAATTTACTTATTCTATAAGCACGAGCAACTCTTTGATTAACTCTTTTTTTTTTTCATATATTTCTTTCACGCTGATGACGTGAAAACATGATGCAAGAGCGAAGGGAAAATACAACGAGAGAGCGGGAGAGATCTGTGAAGTGCGCGTGTCATATTAACTTTGATTACAAAAATAGCTGAAAATGACGGCAACCATAATAACTAAATAGCACTACAATTTCGGTTCATTGAAATTTCTTTTTCATCGAAAATGATTAAAAACGCTTTCGATTTAATTTATTAACAGCTTTTGATGATGGCCAAGCATTTATTGAAACAATATTCAATTTTGTTCCATTTCTGCTGCATATATTCAATTTGGTGGAATTTTTTGATTATAGTGTATTGACATTTCTTGCTTTCTTCACGAACAAAAAACGGGAAAAAAATGCTGCGCTGAAAAGCGGTCACTTAGATTCGTCAGGGTGATTAGGTTGGACTAACACAGTAGAGTTTTTTTTATTCTCGATTCATTGAAGTGTGAATTAATCGTTAAATCAGTAGCATGGATTCAGAACGCTCAATTCATTGTACTGCGTTTTTGTGTGAAATCAAACAAACACGTGTGCCTCTCGCATTAGTAATTTATACAATGGAAAAAAGGGTCCGCAATTTGTGAATAAATACCAACATTTTGGATATACATTTCAAAACTCTGCGAATTCTTTAGTCTTTCTCTGATGGAAACGACTTTTTTATTGAGTGAAAATAACAATAACCATAAATTTTCGGCGATTTTTACACAACCGCCGACGACACCCATCACAACATTTCGATTGGTGATAATATACAGAATACATTTCAGTGAACAATGAACATGCATCAAGAATGAATAAGAACATTTTTTATTCAACTTTTAAAATCACACAAAACTACCCTTTTCAATTGCGCATCCACTGCATCATATCTTCCAGACATTCATTCAATACCAACCAAGATTATACATGTATTGACACAACACCAACCCGGTTGGTGCAACCGTTTGTTTGTCCATTTATTTAATAGTTAAAGGAGATGTTTCGGAAATCCTTCATATTTCCGCCCAGTTTCCCATGACGAAGTGAACATCTTCATTTTTTCCGGTCGTTCATATATTCGATATAAGTCTGTCTTTTACAGACTTATAACTGTTTTTTAACCATTCGAAATTATTTCGAAGTAAGCCATCGGCGCTTTGATTTCCCCCCAAAAAATGAAGGAAACAACCGAACAATCGTTCGAGTTGCTGATGTCTTATTAATTGCTTTTTCTTTCATGAGCAAAAACAAAATATCAAATTCAATTAAATCCATCGAAAAAAGAGTAGAAAAAAAGCGCACTATATAATTTTCTACATTCAAAAAAGTAATTTTCCTAAATATTTTATCGTTTCTAGTTTTTATATTCATTTACTTTTACAGTTTGTCATAAAATTTGATTCCTTTTTGTTTCAGAAATAATTATTCGACAATTTTAATAGCTTGAAATGGGTAAATGAGTCACAACAATTTTTTTTTTCAAAACCATTCGATTGAATCGATTTCTTTTTTTTCTTCTTTGATTTCAAATGCAGTTAAATCAATCTGTATTATTATAGTATCACTATACTCTGGAATCAATCAATACAAAGCTCTAACAAACCAATCCAACAAATTCCAATTTGAGAGAGACAAAAAAATCATTTTTAATTTATCGAAAAAGATTTTATTTAAAAAAAAAAGAATGTCTTGTGTGGCTGTGGATTCTTTTTAATGTATTATTAATGAAGTTTCCTTTTTTGAAACCAACAAGCTTGATTAAAATGTCCAAATAGAAAAAAAAGTAAATAGAGAGGGATAAAAACGCGTCGAGGGTGATCAATGCTTTATTTCAAGCACTTTTCATCATCAAATCGAACCTAGTGAAAACTTCGAAATACGCTCGTAATTACTTGATTTTAATTGATGGAGCAATACAAAAGGGTGACATACAAGTAGTTATTTTCTTTAATTATCTCGCGATGAAAGCAGTTTTTTTCGAAATCATATTCTCTTTTTGTATTTTTCCATTTGAAAAAAAAGAGCTGCCACGAGTTTTGTGTTGCTCAACACACGCGATACAATGAAATGTAAATAAAATTTATTGATAACCGGCCGAAGTAACTCGAAATGGAAGCAGCAGCACCAACCAACCAGCCAGCCAAAGACGCTACAATTGTCACGAAGTTTCCATTGTCGTGCTAATTAGAGATTTATTGATTGACTAATCACTTTGTGCTTACACTATTTTTCCCAAGCCACTCTTCATAATTGATATGTCCCATGAATTTTTGGACATTTTGATCCAAGGAAAATAAAATTGTTCAATTTTTTTCCGTGTCATGTTCCAAGTAAGGATTTAATAAACGAAAGGATTTTCATTGGAACTGAGGCTAGCCTGTAATTATAGACTTGGTCACAATTTACCACTGGACGTGTTCTCCACTTTATATCATCCCACACATTTGGTATATTTTTTGTTCGAAATACCTTGAACGATGGTAATAACACACTTATCGGACGACTAAAACGGTTGTATTGGGTCTTCGATAAGAGACGAATATATACGAAATACGAAATATCACCTATGTCATCAATTCAAGCGCATTTTGTAAACTGTGTAAGTGTAACGTTTATATTGGGTGTGGATTGAATGCTTTAATTGCCGCCCATCCAAATTGAATTCCTCAATACCAATCCAATGTTGTGGAAAATTTTCGAACCATCTTTTTTTTTAATTATTTACATTTTTGTGGAGCTCGTGAACAACTAGCATAGGTTTCTGTAAGCGTTTTTGAAATACGCACTGCGGTCAACAATCTTGATAAGAACGCACTTTAAATTTTCTATAGCGCGCAATTGATTCAATGAAAAAGATTCACTTTGAGAATGAACGAAGTCAAGAACGTCGTTTGCTTTGAAGCCATAAAATCGCGGTCAAAACACAGAACTTTATTTCTTAAAATATAAACGCTATGGGAAGGGGAAATCCAATGTAAAGAAAGAAATTCATGGAAAAGGATATTGAATTCTTCGAACAAAGTTTTTTTATTCCCTTCATTATGCATTTTCAAACTTCGAATACTCTCTCTGTTTTCATTCACATCGATATGAAGTAAGACGCAAGTGTACTCTCAAGAAGGCAGTATATCTCGAAAGCAGTTCTCGATGGAGAAGGTTGGCTTATTTTTCTCGAGAGTAGGTTTTCATCTGTTTTGAATGGGCTATAATTCAGACTTTGAGTCGCAACTTTCAATCCGAATATACTTTGATATGACAATGTAAGTATAATGTTAACGTTTTTATTATTTTTTCCAAATGTACAACAAGATCACAGCCGATGATAATAAATGCGATTATGAATGAGTGCAAAAAATCGGAATTCCCATGCGTGAGATAATGTGGTGAAAATTGATCAAGCAGGTTGCAAAAGGGAATATGTTGAGTCAACAAATTGATTAATCGTGAATAAAATATGTTTGTGTTTGAACATCTTACGATCTTCTATGTGAATGATAGGCTGCGTGATGTGTTGTATAGGTTAAAAAGGCAAACCTTCATCGAAAAAATGTAAACAATTGATTTGGTGAAATTTTGAAAATTCCTTTTAATTGTAGACACCAATCAACGTGCGACATCCTACATGGATCCTTGACTTGGCTTTGGTAATCTCTCACCTTGACTTAGGAGACGAAAATTCTCCCGTTGAGTTCAAGGAATAATATTAGTATCGCGTAACTTGGACAACTTTCTCTCATTTCAATCTCATTCGAAGCATGTCGGATGCCAAACATCGTACGATAATCACCATACCCACTGCTTTGCAATGAAAATAAATGTAAATCAGCCGAAAGTATTCTAAGAATTTTTTTGTTTGTTCACCGTTTTATTAATCGGACGTCAATTTTTTTACAGCTTGACCTTTGACTGGCCATTATCACTTGAACGGAGTATAAATAAACAAATCATTCGCCGATTGTATTTAATATGCAAATTAGCATCAGTTGCGTTTAGTTCAAAGTGTGTTCTATGCTTGAAAAGATGTTTTTTTCGTGGATATTTTTGGGATTCGCAATTAGCTCTATAAAAGGTATTTCTTTCATATTCCAAAAAAAAAGCAAACAATTTGGTAATCTTTCTTTTGTTTTCCAGCTGACTGCATTCTTCCCTTACCAAGATTCCGTTTTTTCAATCCATTGATATTTTCATCGGAAGGAAATCTTCTAAAAACTGATAGTTTTGATGAACATGATTTGAGCATCACCGTTCCAGTCAACAAAGAAGTGACTTTGTCTTGTGCTCCAAATTACTTTAAAACGCCCAGTTTGAATGATTCCAAAACTTTGACAGCAACATGCAAAAGTGGTGAAATTTTTGGTATGTTCCAGCTTTTGACTTGTGCTTATAAACATCAATTTGATTAAAATAATGTTGCACTGTGTTATCAATCTCGTCAGACTTAATTTTAACGAAGAATAGTCTAATACAATTTAATTTAATTTTCCCAACAGAAGTGGATGGTGTCGACAAAAATTGGCTCCTTGATTTGGGCTGTGAAGTGCGACCAGTTGAAGAGGTTATCAAGTCAATTCCTGGATGTCCAGATGAGGCAACATCCGTCGAATTTGGCTATGAAAATCCAATCAAAAGCAAAACCCAATTGATTGGCGAAGCATGTTACTCCGAGAAGGAGGGTCGAACTATTTTTGTTCACACAAAATTTATCAAGAATGGCAACGAAAAATACGCTGAATTGGACACCGAAAATGTTAATTATTTGGCACAAAAACACCCTGAATCTCAGTACAAAATTAATTTTCTAGTAGCATCTCGTATGGATGCATTGAATGAACGCCTTGAAAGGCAGTTATCTACTAAAAAAGTTCCGTTCCTTGCACCACGTCACTTCATCGACTTACCAATATGGCAAAACGGGCAACTTTATTCAACGCTTAAATTGGGATGGAACTATGCCATTTCAAATGGTTTTGACTATTTAGCGAACTATGACTTGATACTGAAAGATATTATGGGTTTCAGTGAGTTGAAAAATTTCGATTTGTATATGGGAACGCATTCAAAACTATCGCTAAAAACTAAAGAAGAAGATGTTGTGGACATTTATGTGCTACCAAATGAACAAAAGTATCCAGTACCGAAGTACCTATGGATTGTTGTGACTACGGAATCTGGAAAAGGTGCTGGTTTCTTGATTTCGAACAATATCGATGCAAAACCAGATGATGTAGCGGCTACAGCACCGTGCGAGAGCAAATGTGCTCAAATGACATGGATGTCGAATTTATTGAATGGAAACGCATACAAAAACCCCACAAATGGATATGTCTATTGCTGTGAAATTAACAAACTCATGAGAGTTGTTACCGAAATGCCATCATTGGAAGGAAGGTACACTTTGTTAGCTGGAAGAACCACTCATCGACAATTTGGCGACATATAAACAGTGTGCACCAGCCCCGGTGAGCTGACTAGATAAAATCAAACTGAAATCAAACTGAAATCAAGATTCCCTGAAATATTTTAGCATACAATTTTGGACGTAAACACATTTTGAATAGAAAAAGCATCCGTTTACAGTGGATCTTTTACACGATATCATTTGAAACTTTGCGAGTATAATAATAGATGAATTTATCCCAAATCAGTAAAATAAAAAAAAACGAATCAAAGATGGACAAAAAAAATTGAAAATAAAGCAAAATAATAATTAAAATTTGTCATCGGAAAATAAATAAAAGAATATTAAAAAAATAAGTACTGTTCCTTCAAACTGTGCCTTCTATTTTCTATTTCAAAAAAGTGGTCAGATGCAATTAAAAACAAAATTGATATAAAAGTTGGAAAAGACGTTGAATTGCAAGGAGACCAAAAGTTAGATGCGCTAGAAAGTTTAGGTCCATACATTGGGCAGAAAAACAAAGCCGAATGTTTTGTTCACTTCTTAAATACACCGCAAATTTGTTTGGACGAACAATTATTAATATTTTCTTCAAGTTTTGAATAGGCTATAATTCAGAATTCGATTCTAAACTTGCAATCCGAATATACTTCGATATGGCAATTTAAGTAATCTTTAGAACAAGATCACAGCCGATGTCAGTAAATGCGATTACGAATGTGGACAACAAATCGGAACTTCCGTACGTGTAACCGAATTGAAAACCGAAAGTGTACATTATTTGGCTTAAATACACCCTGGATTTCGCTACAAAATTGATTTTCCAGAAGCATCTCGTATAGTTTGAATCATTAATCATTGAATGAACGCCTTGAATGGCTGTTATTGCTAACATTTAATTAAAATATGTTATTCGAATAGAACTAAAAATTTGAATATTTGAAAAAATACACTGAACATTCAAACTGTGCCTTGTATTTGCCATTTAAAAAAAGTGGTCCGATGCAATCAACTAGACTGATCATGTTTGACAGCTGGTACTTTATGTTTTGGCGGTCACTTTTGACAACTACTTTTCAACAAACCGATTGAGCGACGAACACGAAGCATTGTTAATTGTTTGTATAAGTTAATGTTAGATCTTTTTTGACGACTGAAAAGTAAAACAAATCAAAATGGATATTGATATAAAAGTTGAAAAGGACGTTGAATCGCAAGAAGAGCAAAAGGTGGATTCGCTCAAAAGGTTGGGACCATATATTGCGCAGAAAAACAATGCCGAAAGTTTTGTTCATTTCTCGAATATACCGCAAATTTGTTTGGAAGAACCGTGTATGCTTGGGGTGGATGAAGCTGGCCGCGGACCCGTGCTAGGTAAATCTATTTGCGGAATAACGATAAGCAAATAAATTGTAATCAAATTAAATTGAAAGAATACTAACATCAAATTATGATTACAATAGGTCCAATGGTTTATGGTATTGCATTTTGTCCGCTGATAAAAGACGACATTCTCAAAACGCTTGGCTGTGCCGACTCGAAACAATTGACCGAAGAGAAACGGGAAGTGATTTTCAACGATATTTGCACAAAAGAATACGCAAACACAAATATGGCATGGGCCGTCGAAGTGATTTCACCGAATGTTATCAGTAATTCAATGTTCCGCCGATCAAAGCATTCTTTGAACGAAGTCTCGATGGATTCGGCCATTGGTTTGATCAAGAGAGCGATGGCTTTGGGAGCAAATATTGCCGAGGTGTATGTCGATACCGTTGGTCCACCCGAAAAGTATGAAGCAAAATTGAGCAAAATATTCCCCGATTTCAAGATCACTGTGGCCAAAAAGGCGGATTCAACGTATCCCATCGTCTCAGCTGCTAGTATTTGCGCGAAAGTGTCTCGTGACCATGCACTCAAGGTGTGGAAATTCCCTGAAGGTTTGACCATAACACAAGATGGTTTTGGCAGCGGTTATCCAGGTGATCCGGTCACCAAACGATTTCTGCAAGAAAACATCAACCAAGTATTCGGCTTTCCGAGATTGGTACGATTCAGCTGGTCAACGGCCGAAAATATTCTATTGGCAAAAGCACTGAAAATGCAATTCGAAGAGGAGGAGGACGCACCGAAAGCAAAAACAACAAAAGCAATCAAAAATTTCTTCACTTCTGACAAACCGACCACACGGCCAAGACACATTTTCTTCCGTGATCGATGCTTGGAAACCGTTGTCGATTTGTAATCGCAAAATACACCCACAATCCATTCCGACTGTTCATTTTTTTTAAAATGAAAACTCATGAAAAATACACATTTCAATAAAATCACGTTGCATTAGACTAAATATAATTTTGTTTTATTTCATTAAATCGATACAAATTAATTATACAAAGAATTGATCATTTTGTGTGTGTGAAACGAGATGTGAACGAAAGAAACGTATAAATGTTGTGATTTAAATCCATTCAGATACTGACTCTGTATCTCTCCGTTTCTTAATGAAACAGTTTTATACAATTTATATTTTGTCCTTAACTAAAATTGTTTGCGGATAAAATAATTCACAGACGAGCTGCTGTCTATATAGTCAATGAATGTGTGTGCCCCAAGAAATACAAAAAGAATTACCATCGAAATTTTAAAAAATTACAATTTTCTCATATCTAAAACGAAAACACTGCCATCAGATGCACTGGCACCGACTTTGCTGCCACGTGAATTCCAACATACTTCGAAAATACCACCGGTACCTTTGTAACTGTGCACAAGCTGGCCGCTTTGTGTGCTCCAAATGTGAACGCATTTATCGAAACTGCCTGACGCAAGGAATTTACCATCCGGACTGAATGCCACTGAATAGACTGGTTCGGTGTGTTTGGTGAGTGTGTGAATGCAAGCACCTCGGTCAACGTCCCACAATCGAACAGTTGAATCGAACGAAGCCGAAGCCAAAATCAAGTTCATATTTGGATTTTGTGTGCCAGGACCGGTTGGTGACCATTTGATCGTATAGATCTCCTTTGAGTGTGCTTTGAAATTGTGCACACAATTGTCTTGTTTCATTGACCAAATTTTCAGTGTCATATCATCGGAGCATGAGGCCAACAATTGTCCTTGTGGATCCCATTTGATGGCGTTCACTTCGTTTGTATGGCCTTGGAACGATTTGATTGGCTTGTCAACGCCCATTTTGCACACATGAATGCGCTGGTCAGTGCTGCAACTTGCAAATGAGTTATTCGTTTGCCAATCAACATCCAAGGCTGGTGCCATGTGGAATGAAAACTGTTGAGCACACTGACCAGTGGCTGCATCCCAGATGATTGTGGTGCGATCGACCTAAAAGTGAAGAAGCAAGAGTTAGCGATTCGAATTTCCTTCTCGTTCAAGTATCGGTTACTTACACCAGCCGATAGAATGTAGTTGCCACGTTTGTTCCACTTCAATGCGAAGATTGGACCCTTGTGTTGGCCTAATGTATCAGATAATCGACCATCTGTCGTCCAAATACGAGCATATCCATCGTAGCTTCCCGTTGCCAACAATGTACCGGTGCAATTCCAGTCCAATGATGTTACATCTTTGTTGCTTGGCACTTCGGTGCCACCCTTTTGAATGCAATGACGCAATACCAACTGATTTGGACTGGTGGAATTGTCTCCCATATCCCAAATACGTGCGGTGCTATCGCCAGAACCACTAGCCAATAGATCCGTGGTGGGATTCCAGGCGCAAATGAACACTTCACTTTCATGACCACGCAAAACGGTCGCTTTTGATGCTGGAATTTCGATGCTTTGATCCACATCCATTGTCTCTTCTTGGGCTGGTGTCGTTGTTGCAGCCGGTGTCTCCTCACCATTGATCTCTGACGGAATGATCGGTTCGGCTTTTGTCGGTTCGGTTTTTATATTTTCCACTTTGGGTGCGATCTTTTGACTTTTTATCTCGGGCATTACAGCATCGATCAAACTCAGGCCTTCAGTTAAGCGGTTTAAGGTACCTAAAAGTAAACGAGAAGTGTTAGAAAATATACGAACGAGCGAAAAGGGAATCAAATGAATTTTGTCGCTTATTTATCGCCTTACCATCTTCACCAATGCTGATTTCGGCTTCTGTGTACTGCAAACCCTTCTGCAAAATGGTCAACAGTGCGGCCGGCGGAACGAGAGCCCCATTGATGTTACTCTGAGAGATGTGTGACTCGATACCAAAAGTGTATGCGGAATGATGGAAGCCTGCAAAATCAACAAACAACGTCAATTACGATTTGTCCTACAAATTTTCTACTTATGACAGAAACTTCAAATCAATTTGAACTTTTGAATTAAAATAACAGAAACTATTTTGACTTTATGAATATTTGTATACATCTTGTCACGTTCAGTTCAATGTGATTTGTCCAAGTTTAATTCAATTTGATCCATTGTTCTATTTATTTACAAATTCTGAAGAGTCAACATTGTAAGCATTGTTGCATTCGAATAAGCTATTGATAGGTTTACCCAAAATAAACTAAGCCAACATGTTTATTCAATTGAAGTGGTTTGCATTGTGCTTGATAAGGCATGTTTTTATCAGTCTGCTTATGTCTGACCAGTAAAATAATTGAATAAACATTGATACGACCCTTCGAAGAAATCTCTTTTCACTAAAAAAAAATCAATGACAAGAAGTTTTTGACAAAACAAAGCAAGACCAATGTTGAAAAAAGTAAACAGCTCCAAATAATGAAAGGAACAATTTAAGGTCATTATACCACTTTGTATGTGATAATCGCTATTGCGAAATCACTTCCACTGACATATGTTGTAATTGTCGGCATTTTCATTTATTTGCGCTGTTTTTTCCCATGAAATCCGGACTTCCTTTCGAATTTCGATTGTCCAATGTATGAATATATTGGTTGAAAATGAAACTGGGCGTGCTGTGCTTGGCAATTGAAAATGTTCGGCGATAAGGAATACACGGTGGAAAAAACGCGCAACTATTTGCATGAATGTTTGTGTTTTATTTTTGACGAGTTCCAAACATGTTTCGATTATTTTTGACGAAAAATTTAATTATGTAAAACAAAATTTCGTACACGATCTAAGCAAAATGCGCATACCAAATATAAACACAAACACTTTTCGAAGCAAATTTGTTTGATTTGGGCGTTTAGCATTGTAATTACCTGATTCCTGTAGGTAGCGGTAAACCAAAAAGTTCACTTCATCACTGGAAAAACTCATGTTGCACCGATGTGTTCACGTCAATTGAATGTTATCGAATAAAAATGAATGATGATTTTTCGTTTGAACACTGTAAAAGTGTGTTTGTTTTGAAATTAAACTGAATGGACCACAAGTTAAATTACGAATGCTTGAAATGTTTCTCTTTATGCGACTGAATCTCAAGACGACGCCATAGCTATACATGTCATTTCAGAGAACTTTAGGTCTGTCGGCTAATGACTCTCAGTGCTTTGACATACTCCTCTACAATCCGGTTTTATAGTAGTTTAGTTGATTGTCACACGGGGAAATAACATGGAGCAAAACAAAGTTGGTTTTGCTTTGGTGAATTGGAAATGAATGGAAAATGAAAGAAAAATAATGAAATTCTTTTATTCATTTGGAATTTTTCTAAATAAAATTATTAAAATCGTGTAAAAAGTAATTAAAAGTCCATTATGGCATAGATGGCGTGATTGACTACTATGGAACGCGCTCCAAGCATTTGTTGTCGTTTCCATGCTGGTATTGGTTTTGCCATGTGTATATGAAGTTTGATGGCTTAACAAAGTTCACACGAGCGACCTCATCTTTCTTTTTCGTTCAACACTCAAACGGTGTGCTTGTTCTCTGAAGAGCTAAGGACTATCGTCGACTTGCACGATAAACAGACAAATTTAAGTGAATTTAAACACAAAACCCACTAAATTTTTTTAAAAGATGACTTCAAAAGCTGAATTGGCCTGCGTTTACTCCGCACTCATCTTGGTTGATGATGATGTTGCTATCACCGTAAGTGGAAAAATTGTCATCATTTAACTCAGTGAATTAGAATCGGCTTGGAAATTCCATGGAAAGAAATCGAAAATAATTTCATAAATTCGTGATCATCGAACGTTGCAAACGGTGGCAAATAATGTTGAAAGGATAAAACAAGTGATTTCAATTAATATTTCCGTGGAATTTTCCCAAATTTATGCAAAAAAAATTCAAATACGAAAATTTGCTGGACAAAACTTTGTGATACCGTTGAGGTTATGTCAGTTTTATGTTGATGCTAATGTGTGTGATTGTTATGTTTTCTTTCTAGAGCGAGAAAATCTCAACCATCTTGAAGGCTGCTAACGTCGATGTTGAGCCATACTGGCCATCATTGTTCGCCAAAGCCCTTGAAGGTGTCAACGTCAAGGACTTGATCACCAACATCGGTTCAGGAGTTGGTGCTGCTCCAGCTGCCGGCGCTGCCGCTGCTGCCCCAGCTGCCGCTGAAGACAAGAAGGAAGCCAAGAAGGAAGAAAAGAAGGAAGAATCCGAAGAAGAAGACGATGACATGGGTTTCGGTAAGTCACACGGAAATAAAAATCCAAATGAGCATTTTTCTCCTCGATGTGTCAACCAAAGTGTCTAATTCATGTGTTGTGCTCGTTTCATTGCAGGTCTCTTCGAATAAACATCCAAATCTTCTTGAAAAAGCTTTTTCATTTTGTACAGTTCTAATGTGCATCGAAATAAAAAGTTTTCATTGACATCAAAGAGAAAAAAAACCAAGCGTCTTTTGTTGAATTAATTTCTAATTTACAGTGATGATTGATCATGGAACGGGTAAGAGAGTCCACATTGGATTTGGACATCATTTCATTTTACATCGTAATCATTTCGATGTCTTCTTAATCGCAACGCATTAAATCATGGCACAAATCATTGAACTACGGCCAAATTCTGTATTGAATACTAAAAAAAAGACCGAATGACTAACATATGATTTGAATAAAAATTGCGCATTTCAACTTGTGCGATGGGACAGCGTGTCAATAAAGTGAGGTTAGGTTTGTATCTTGCACAAGTCAATGAATGTGACAGTTGTGGTATACACATTTTGCGTTGCAATTCTCTCTGTCGTCATCAATCAGTTTGGACAATTGAATCTTGTTCTCAAAAAATTGATTTGTTAAATCTTGAAGAAAAACTCATTCTTAAATTAAAGTCTCATTAAATTGGAAAATGTTCATCAATATGAAAATGCTCTATCTTGCGCAAACAACTCGATTTAACATTTAAAACTGACACCAAATAACAAGCTGTTAGAGATGGACCGTATGTGTCATGTGGTAACCCGAAAAGCATTCGTACACAGTGGTATACAATAGAATGGGCGAGAATGTATGACTATGTGTGTTGGTGTATACAGCGAGAGAGAGAGCAATGTAAATGTGCGTATTCATGCTCTCTGCCTGCTGTCAAATGGTATTTATACAAAAATTACTATTCAGTTTGGTATTAGTCGTCGTTGACTCAGCACTGCACATAAACAAAGCACAAACTCTGTCACTTTCCTTTTGGCTGCTCTGAAACGTAAAAAATAGAAGAGATTAAATCGCTATTTCCTTTCCACAAAAAATAAGTCGCGCGAGACAGAAATAAAAAATATTTCAAAATTCGCGAATAGTTTTTTTTTCTCGTAGTGTTTTCATCATTTTATGAACTGGTCGTGGAATTGATGCAAAGGGATACATTTGGTTCGCAAAGACGAAGAAAAAAGAAAGCGAATGGAATTGCAGTTTATGGAATGAATTTTTAAATAGGTGATCGAAATAATATATCTCAGTCGTTGTTGCACAATGAAGAGTTCAGCATAAAATTCAACGAGAAAATCAGCTCCATTACAAATCGACCCAAAGCAAAAGAGCCAGAGGAAAACAGTGTGTGTGTGTCGTGTTGTGTGTGTTTCAAAAGAATTGTGTCGTGATTGCTTCAAATGAATATTTCATTGTGAGTTTTATTATGCCGAAAGTGAATGCATTCTCGATTATTCGAATGAAATTTTGAAACGAAAACAAAAAAAAGCAATTGAACGACAAACACCGAGTCAATTGCGTTTATTCTCTTTTTTGTTTGTAGTTTATTTTATTTCAACGTCACTTTCATTCGTCGTTAGTTTTTCATATGTCAAACGTCACCCAGCATATTATGCGCTTTTTTTGTTTGTCGTTGATCCAACTTTCGTTGCTGTGGTGATAGTTTTTGAATCGGTGTGCCACACCGATTTGCTCATATTGCACCGATTGAGAGAGAACAAGAAGCGAAAAGTGAATAAGAATACAAAAAAAAGAAAACAAATAACTGAGAACAGAATCGAAACGACGAGAATCTGTCATAAAAACAGAAACCAAACAGGAAATCAACAAAAACTCTCAAATAAAACACACGAAAACAAAGCATACGGTGTTTGTAGGATTTCTTGGGTGCAAACAACGAAGAAACAAAATAAGAGAATTCAACCTTTTGTCAGTGCTGAATAAGTGAAAAGAAAGAAGACGTACCAATTTTTATTTGCTGTTTTGTTTAAGTTTTGCACTTTGAACACAACACCTTTCAACGAAAGAATAATAGTTGTGATGTGATTGACCTAGGCGAGAAGAAGAAAAAAGAGAGAAATAAAGTTCCAGAGAATTGCTTTTTTATTTTTTTTGAGAAAACGAAAAAAAGAATCAAAGTAAACTTCTATTTCGTTGGAGAAAACAGTTTGCATTCGTCTCCACGTGAAAACGATTTTAGCTTAAGCTTGAAGAAACGTAAGATAAACGCAAAATTCAACGGTGAAACTGTAGGCAAAGCAGAACAGCCGACTTGAAAGCAAGCCGAACAGAACAAAACAAAAAAAAATATTTAAAAAAAAAGAGATAATAAAATTATCATAAATTGCAAAGTGTGTTGTTGTGCGACAATTCGATAAAAATGGCGGTAGTGCGAAAGAAGCAAGATGATAAAATGCTGAAAATTCTGCGCGAGCTGGTTTCGCTGAGCGGCAACAAACAATGCTTTGACTGTAATCAAAAGGGTCCAACTTATGTAAACATGACCATCGGGTCGTTTGTTTGCACTCGATGCTCCGGCGTTTTGTAAGTATACAACTATAGATTTAGTTTTTTTTAAAAATGAATTCATGTGTAGTGAGTTGAATTCCGTGTCCTTGCATGATCCAACAAGTCGTTTAGAACAAGTCGACGGCAAAAATCAATCAATTTCGTATGTATATTTGATGCTTGAACTACGTCAAGAATCACAGATGTCATGTGCATTTATTAGAAGCTAATGACACAATCTATAATCGATAGTTGGCAAAGTAGTCGTCGTCGTTGTAGTTGTGTCATTGTATCGACACAAACTAGTAGAAAGAAAGGAAAAACAAATCAATTTACTTATCTGAACTGATGAGAGAACTAAATGAGTGTGCGCCAATTTGGCGACATTTCGAACAAGTTGAAACATAGACAAGCTGAGCACAGATTTGAGACGCACAATGTCAAGCGTCACAAGCGTTCACACTTCTCTCGATCCGGTATAAATAACAAATTAATAAATACGCAATTATATTCAGATGTCCGAACACATTCTCTTGCTCAACAGAAAAGAAAAAAAATGAATAACAAAAAGTAAAAAAAAGCGGCTTCAGCGGCATATAGAGTGGAATGAAGAAGAAACGAACACGTTTTTTGAGTTGATTTATGCATGGGAAAAACGACGAAAATATACAAAAAACACATACGATGCACGCACATTTTTGTGTTGTTGTTGTTGTCGAGCGCGTCAAGGAACAACACACAAATATAAACATTAAAAGAAAGTCAACAACAATAAGGCAGATGCCACCACACTAAGAGATTATCATCGGCTTTAAAGTGAAAAAAAAAAATCGAGTGAAATGGGAAAAAGTTGTGAAAATCGTAATCGCGATTTCGGCGATTTTTTTCTCCTCTCTCTCACGCGCTATTGCTGTTGCTGCCATTGTTTTGTTTATTCAATGTGTGTGCGCCACGGCGGTGTGTTGAAACAAGTGAATATGATTGTGCGAATGCAAGCAATAAAGGGCACGTCGCCAAAGGTTCAATTCAAAGTCAAATATATTTATAAGCGAAATTGCAAAAGATAAAGCACACCACGTAGATAGTTGAAGAGAGAAGAAGAAGACTTTGCCTCGTCTTCGGTTTATAAATAGACGAAACGCGGGGCCATTGTTTGTTTGTTTATTTATTTATTTGTGGCGGCACATATGTGTGTCTGATTTTTTTTCTTGTTCCTTTCATTTCTACGCTTCTCTTCTGAAGCATATTTTAGAATATGTGAGACAGATTCATTTAGTGTGATTGCACTAATTGTGGTGATTGTTAGTTGCACGCGAATGACACGGTGAAAGTCATGACTACCGCTTTATTGTCCACTCCCCATACAAATTGAGCACGAACTCACACACACACAGATCGAGAATGGGTGAAATTAATTTATTTTTGCTGTACAATATGAGTGAAAAGAAATAAAAACCACTGAAAAAGTCGATGGGCTTATTTGTCATCGCAAATCAGTTGTGATTCGCTCAAATTCATACAAACTGACCCGCGAGTCCATTCATAGAAAGTACAGCGTATTCATAACAAATCTACGAATCAACGCGAGTCAGTCAAATTTTTTTCTCGAGGAAAAAGGGACTCGCAAACTTCGTACTTGCCTACATTCTTCGTATTGACTCGTGATATTCGCATGACACATAAGCCCCTCGGAAAAAGTGCCACTTTTTTACTAAATACATTCCAATTTATTGTCTATGTACAACAAGAGTCATTAGAATGGTAAAAATTATAGACTAACTACATTTTTTTCGCCACATCGAAATGGTTTGCGAGGATAGACAAGAAATTTATAGCAAAAAATTCTGCACGAAACATTCTGCACAGTGGCACTCGTGTTTCTCATCGTATTTTCCGCTCGAATTCAAGAGAGAAAAATTGAGCATTGTGCAAGAGCTGAAACTGTAAATGCACGCTTTGCCCGAGTGATAAATTGGTGCTTCATTTGAATTCTTCAGAGAGATACTTTGAATCGGTATATGTTCCATAATGTATTCACAATTAGAGAGACTAATCGGGCAAAGAAACAGGCACACACACACACAAACACACATACATGCAAACTAGCTCGCGCGCGTTCATCGCACACGGTGCAGATTGAAGAATAGGCCGAATATGGAACATGCCATGAGATAATGATCGTAGCTCTATTCAAATTAAAACCAGTGGAAAAATAACTAGGTGCATTACTTGTACATACACGTATATAATTCATGATGTTTGTTGCTTCCAAATAGACACATTATTTATGTGTGTTCGTGTATTTGTGTCTGTGCACCATTTCGCAGACGCGATTCTACTACGTACATACGTCTTGGTCGTATTTTGCAGGCTCGTTTGCCATTTCCATTCCGTTTAACAGGCCAAATTATAATTAATTACTACTTGACCTACCTATTTATGTCTAAACTTTGTTCTACATTCAGCTCATCGTATATATATTTGGCACTAAAGTGCAGTCCATATAGCCATACAATCAATATTGAACTATATTCAGGAAAAGCTAAGGAATATTTTGGCTTTCAAAGCGAAGTTCGGTTACGCACATTGAATTGGCCATTAGTAACCCCGAAATACAATGTATCTTCGTTAAATTGAACTGCAAATGTTGTTAGTAAACAACAATGGGAACGCGCAGCCCAGCGAAAGCAACACAAAATTCGGTCAATTTTGTTTTTTGCCCGGTTCAACTTTGGCGAATATAGTTTTTGTGAACAGGAAAAGTGATGAGTCAAATCGAAATATTTTCCGCAACACAAACTCACCAAATGGGCGTGACTTAATGACTTCCCGAATGAATTTTAATCCATGTTGAATGGCTTTTGTTTCTATCTGTGAAACTGCTTTTCAGAAATGAAAATCAGAAAAACGCTTTTGAGATTCATTTTTTTTTGTTCAAAATCTCACTTGTTATTGTAATCAGTGGCTTTGTGACACAAAATCGCATACGAATGAGGTACAAATTTTGCTTGCGGATGAATGCACGAATATGAATGCCGTGTATGAATTATAGTTTAAAAAAATTTAAATATTTTATGCAAACGATACGATACGCGGTCGACGAAGATTTTTATCGAGTTGCAATTTTGCTGTGGCGCACGAGTGCTGTTTGCATTTTGTCGTTGTGTACTGTGTGCACACACTTGGTGATGATCTCAAAATTCATAAGACTAACTGCAATGTAACCAAATCAACACGGTCCATAGGTATGGACTTCTCATACAGACTGTGGAATTATCACTTTTCCGTTCGCTATCGGCGAACGAAATTTCGCACTAGCCAAGACAAAAGGTTTTGGAAATTCTGGTTTACTATGGAATTTTGCATTTTGTTTGTTAATCGCCAAATAGACGATTAGTTTTGGTGCAAAACCACAAGAGCAAGAAAAAAACAACAACCAAAAAGCAAACGCTTCAAAATGAGATGGCACAAATGAAAAGCAAAGATCTTTGAAATGCGGTACACACGAAAAAAAGCGAGTGAGTGGAAGAAAGAGCGAGGGAGAGAGAGAGAGAACGAAAAAAATGCGCCAACACACGTAAACATAGATTGGAATGCACATAATTCACTTTTGAATTAATTGATGCCGCCTGGTACGGATTGTATCGTGATGTTATGATGTTAAATGGCGATTCGTGTGTCTACAAAAAAAAAACAAAATACACAGACACACACCGAGCAACAGCAACGGCAACGGAACCGAAAAAAAGTATCAAGCAAACAGAATGTGAACGATACAACAACGCCGCACGTTGTGCGATTGCAATAAATGATGCTATCGGTGATGGAGTGTGAGCAAGAGATCGGAATAAGCGCATGTTGAACCTTGATGTTGTGGCAGCGACCCATGCAAACGACCGACCAAACGTATTTCGTTTTTGCTGTTGCTGCTGCTGCTGCTCTTGCCTTTCATTATTTCGTTTTGCTGTTTGTATGTCGTTGTTGCTGGTTTTTTTTCGGTGTTTCTGTGTTATCCATCTTTCGGTTGAAATTCTCTCGGTGTTGGTTTTTTGTGAATGTCAATGGATAAACGAGCGGTCTCGATGTATCGGCTTCAGCGGATTGCACATACAGCAAAAGCACCAGCAGCCGTCAGACAACCAAAACCAGTGTGTTAGCGATGACTCATACCGAATTTCCGTCGAAACTGCCGAACAAGCAGTGTACCGTGGTGCCTTGCACCATGAAAACAACACACTGATAATAAAGTCCATTTACGTTAGTTTTTTTTTCTCTGGGTAATTTTTGACATTTCGTCAGCTGAGCTTTCCCACTCAATTTATTTTCTATCAGCTTCTCTCTTATTTCGTTTTTGTCTTCGTCGTTTTTTTCCCTTTGATATTGCTGACCACGCGATTAACCATCCAATGTATTTCACATGTGAATACGGCCTGGTCACACTCACACACAACGTAATCAACATGTAAACAAAATTTTGTTTTCTGCAGGGAATCGAGTCTAATATATTTGATTTCGACTCGAATATTTACACACAGTCACACACCGTTTAGTTAATCAGGTTTCATGACATTTTCATCGTCGGAGCTGACTCATATCGTGTTCCGTGAACTATGTGTGAGTGTGCTGTTGCCCCCGTGTGATTCGAAATCGCTTTGTCGTGACTAAAAAAACCTATGATTATTCAGTTCGGCCAATTTCGTCAACTGTGAAATTAAGTATCGTTTTAAGAACAAATCGCTCGAAAAAGAGAAATGACTTCAATCGAAATCGCATATATTTTTGTTATTTCCATGTAATCAAAGCGGATGAGACCGATTTTCGGTACAAAATGCACAAATTGACCGTATGGAATCGAATCGAAACTTGTGTGGCAGCATTTTCAGGAAATTAGAGCATCAATATGATGTTTTTTTCCATTCAATTCAGAGAAATATGCGATGGAATTCCCTTAATTCCGTTATCAATCGAAGACAAACCGGTTGCCCTTTTTTATTCGACAATCTTCAGATTCCGCAAACCACTTTCAAGGCAGCATCTAAACTGAGTACAAATATTTATGCCATTTGAATAAATATAGCTATCAGCTGGTTTTATTTCCGTTTATTTATTTCCTGTTAAGATAAAACTTCCAGAACAATTTTCCGATGCGCACAATTCACGGGCCGAAACCAGTTAAACGGCGTTTAAATTTATTATCAGAATAATTGAGATGCGACTTGGTAACATTTGGCATTCGAGAAAATTCAGCTTGTTTATTCAATCATTGGAAATGATAATAGCACGGTTTTTTTTTGCAGCGTTTGCTATCTCTCTAGAAATTCCATGAATGGGAGAGAGAGAAAAAAAGGGTCATGCTACAACAAAACAAAAATAGCGATGCTTAGAAAATGTCTTCGAACAATTGTGTCTATTTTTCTATCGAACCATTGGACATTGGTGTTGTCGTATGTCGATGAATGAATAATGTAAATTCATACTTCGAAAATAGCAATGAAAATGAAATGAAAAGGCGTGTGTTATTGATTACATCGAGAGAGACAAACACACAGCATAGAAAATAGACGTATTTACTACACGATATATTCGTTGGACAAATGATTTCATGGTTTCATTACGGATTAAAGTAAGCCAACGCTGAATAAATTATACCGGAAAAATGCTGTACATGTTTCTCTCTGTTTCGGTGTCGTTGATGGAATTCATAGAAATTCCCCCCCCCCAGTTTTCTTGCTTTGTGTTGTCTCTACGCTTCACAACAGCCAAAATCCATGTTATTCGATATTTACAAGCTTCTCTCCCCAAAAAAAAAACAAACCGAATGTGGCGTTCGATTTCAAATTACCCGTTAGCGCATTTGCCATCGACATGACGCTGCCGACGATGGACACAACAATGAATAAATGAAAAAGAAAGCTAAATTTTGGCATTAATCATATGCTGGAATGTGATACACCATTGTTTGCATGGGAAATAATGTTTGTATTGTTACCGCGTGATGTCGATGTGCATACATAAATCAAAGGTGCAATGTGTAGAGAGGAGAGAAAAAACCCGAGTCGAGTATACAGCAGACATATACACGACATTCGCAAGCGACTTCAAATAGACAAAGGCTTAAACATTCCTCGCTTAAGTAGTAAATATCTTTATAAATTCTATAAAAAGCCACACAATTACGCAAAATAACACAACCGGCTGCAATTGCCTCTATATACGTTTTGGTTTTTTTTTGTCGTAATCGATGAACAAACGACGCATTTCATGTATCGTTGTTTAATGACGATATTTTTTGTTTGCCTCTCTCATTCATTTGCCATTAATGAGCGCAAATATTCGATATGGACGGTTTGTTTTTTTCGTGTGTTTGCAATAAATGACGTCCTATTTACGAAATTAGACCGTATTTACGACGTTGACATGATTATCGGTGGACCGAAAATGAGCAGTTATTCCGTCAGATACTACACGCAAATATTCAAATTGATTTCAAGCAGATCTTATCGAATGCACGGTATCGAGAGGTTCTCTAAACGCCTGCAAACAAGATGTAATTGTTTATAAAATGATAAAATCATTGAAAAATGTGTTCACATGCTCGTACCTTTGAAGACACTTCTAAATAGAACGTATTGTTCCGTTTATGGCTTGATTCACTGTGAAATGTGACACACATGATTTCATCAGACAAATAAATCGACTTGTGACATTGTCATTGCTCACTCTCTAAATTTGTGTGATATTGAAAGCAAATCAAATTCAATTGTCTCAACGCTTGAACGCTATGCTGTTTCACATTTCGTCCTTCTCTCTTTTGATTTCATTTCTAAATGGCATGAATGCAACTGCTAATTTCAAACTGATAACACTAATTAGATGTCACATTTTATCAACGTCACGCTTGCCGTCCATTTGCTGGTGCTGTCGGTGTCGCAACACAAACCGCATTGAATGAAATTAAGTTTAAATGAATTTCAAAGTTGTGTGTCTGTGCAAAAGTGGTTTGGGAAATTTCATAAACACGAAATTGATTCGATGGATTTTCGGATTAGCTAGAGCGTTTCAATGGCTTCAGTAACGGATGTCGATCCGATGATTTATGATGAAGACAATGAGAGAGCCAGGGATCGTTTGCGTGTGCATTCTGTGAACTGTCCACAGTATATATATATAGATTCGTTAATGACCATGCTCTTAAAGCGTAGATAAAATACGGAAACGATGATAAAATTGGTTCGCTCGTTCACCGACAGACCGTTCATTTGCCAGCCATGAATGACCAGCATGTTTGTATGTGTATGTACGCGGTGTTTAGTGCTCGAGCCGTTCGATGTGCTACTGCATTGCAGCGACAGAGTAAACAAAAGCACACTTGAATAAATTATTTTCATAATTCCGTCGCATTAACTCGAACACGTTTTATTGATATCGGGTGCATTTGTTCAAACGAAGAAACAGTTATAAACAGACATCAGGCATGGCACACCGATAATAAAATGTGAATTATTTCAGTGAAAGAAGCAAAAAAAAATGAAATGATGTATAGCGTGCAGCGCGACTGTCACAACGTTGATGCATTTTACGAAATACAGGTTCTAGCTATCATCTCATTACCATGTTATTTATGGTCACTTATTGCGCGCTTCGGCCATATATACACAAACACACACGAAACCAAGTGGATTTGTCATTTATACAAATAAATTGTTTCACAAAACTGCTTCGCAGCTCCGACAACAATGAAACGATTTTAATGCGGTGATAAAAAGCGTAACGTCACTGCCCAACACATCAAAAAAGAGAAATGGAGAAGCAACGGAGAGTATACAATACCCAAGTGCCAGTTTAATTCTATTCGAAAAGAGCTGAAAAACATAAACGCATACACTTTCTGGTGTGTGTTCGTGTGCTTGTTCTCATTTCACGCATTTACTACACAGCTTCCAAGAAACTTTAATAAACTTGATTGTGTCAATTATTATTTAATTTGTTAGAAAGTAATTTTCAGATTGAGTATTTAGTCTTCAGACGGATATTACATTTGAGTGGATTGTAATTTTGTGGTTTGTGTGTGTGTGTGCGCGCGCACGCGGTTGTTCCGATGAATCGGTTGCATCGTATCAACAACATCGTTATCTGTCGAAGTGATTGCTTGCATTCGGACAATTTGCGTGAATGTGTAGGAAAGAGACGGAGTCGGAGATGGGAACGGAGCCAAAAAAACCAAAAGAGATTGAAAAAGAGAGTAAGAGACTATTTCAACGTGAGAGAATGAGATTAACAGGGAAAGAGAGATAGAGATACGACATCTCAAAGGTATTGAGCAATGCCAACTTATCAAAACTCACGACCAGTTTCCATGGAAATGTGTCAGTCATTAGAAAAGTTCACCGTTGATTGAACACTTGCAACGATCGAACGGAATCGTCGTTCTTTTTTTTCTTCGTTCATTAGGCATTACTTTGAATAGAACTGAAATGAGCAAAATATATTTTACAAATAAAGATATTTGATCTATGTTCGCCGAATGATGGACAGTGACCGACTGTATGTACAGAGCGCGAATTCGCACACGGCGAATGCAAAACAATAGAATAATGGGAGCATATGTTTTTAGACCTTGAGAACGGAACAACAAACGCCACAGATGTATAAATGCGAACGTACTCAATTTGCGCGATTTGTTTGTTTAAATATAATATATATATATGCACACCATTTGCGTTTCATTAAAATAAACCACCAAGTGCAAATTAAAACAAGAAATCGACAGAGAGAACTTAATGAATATATACATCGATGTGCACGTACTAATTGTAATGCTAAAGTTGCTTTGCTCTCTCTCTCTCTCCCTCCCTCCCTCTCTGAATCACAACACCGTCATCAACGTGCTAAACACTTTTAATTTTCATTTTCAATTCGCTTTTTGTTCTCTGGTTCAATCACTTCTGCTGTATTCCCAACGTAAACACATTTCGATGACTGTATGTTACTCACATATCAAGTCGTTTGGTTTTGTTTTGTTTTTTTCCGCCACAAATAATGTCAACCGTCTAATGTTTCATTTAATTAACGTTTTCTATTTTCTGAACTACCACGGTACGGAATCGATTGCAAATCTATTCAACGTTCGCGCACACATAATTGTTATCGCTTGAATGCGGGGCACATTTTAATCAGAACATCGAAATCGATGAGCTGAAATTGTGTGTTGAACGAACGAAAACAACGAAGAATGAACTAACAAATCGATCTACCCATTGTTTTCTGACGTCGTACACACGCTTCCAATGTATTCTTCAGACTGACTGCTTCACACATGCATACATCGGTTTTTTAATTAAAATTTTAATGGTGTATTTTCGATTTAAAATTGAATTTCATTTATATTCTCAAATAATTCATCGATAATGGGCTTTCATAGTTTCGCTTCCAAAAAGCGAAATGGGCGAAAGTTTGCTCTCGCTTCGAAAATAGAGAGAATTTTTCCTTTATATTTTCAATGAACATTTCTGTTCGCGGCTTTTCATCGTGAGAGCGTGTAAGCGGGTGCTAACTTTTGCTGCAAAAGATTGTCAGAAATTCATAGAAAACCATCATAATGACTTTGAGTTGCGGATTTTTTTTTTCCTGCGCTGTTGTTGTTGCTGCTCTCTCGTTTCAAAAATGTCATCTCGATTTTAGTTTTGTGTAAAATGCTGAACGAGGCGAAAAAAGAACGAAAGATGAATATTTCAAATGAGGTTCATGTGGCGTGAAATGACAAATGTCGTTTCAGATCGTCACGGTTCAGTAACCACTGGCCATCAAACAGCCGAGCAGCGGTAGAGGCAGCCGCAGCACATAGAAAAAAAACGTGAATGGTCACATTCATATTTCAATTAAGTGGAAAATATATATAGTGTGTGCATACATTTAATTTATGCGTCACTTTACATGCGATGAAACACACACAAACACACAAAAAGCGAGAAGAAGAATGCAGAAAAGTCAGTGGAATGAATCCTTAGTTGGCATTTATTCATACACTTGCCGTATCGTTTGGGTTTGCGTGCGAGCATGTGTGTGTTTGTGCATTTTAGTGGTGCACAGCGCGCATGCAACCTATTAATTTATGCACAGTTCACACATTTCAGTTATCAATTCATGCTTCCATGCGTTTCCATAGCATGGGCCGTTTGTTGTTTGTTTTTTTTTCTCGTTGCTTTGGCACGTTATTAGAACGAGAATCATGTAATTCTGTGTGTGTTGTAATAATTTTTCTATGATTTTGGTGCGTCACTTGTAGGCCACCAGCTGAAGCGACATGAATCTCGGCAGCGAGATTGTGTTTGGACTATTTCTCTTTCAAATGCTCTTGTGTGTATACATGCCTTTTGAATGTTGAGTCATAAATGGTTAAATGCTTTTGCAATTATATTTTACACTTAAACGCATCAAAAGCTTCATTTGAAACAAAACTATTTTTTCTGTTGCTGTTCTTCATCGCATTTTTCTCTCCAAGTGCCGCATTAGGCGCTCGCTCGCGAAACTGCACTGAATGGATGCTCTTTTGCGCCGTTTACAATAAAATTGACCCAGATTTATTGTGCTTAGTAAAAGTAAAAGAAACACACACACCAATCGAACACTCTGTCGGCTCGACACATTCATACAAATTAACAGCGACTGAACGAAACGCGAAAAGGCAAAGTGAGAAAATGACAGAATGCTCAAGCATTCGTAATTCTTCTCCTCGTTTTATGCTGTTTTGCAACGTCAAAATGCCGCACATACTCAGAAGTAAGCCTGCACTTGCAGGACAAAGAAGCAAGAAAAAAAACGAGAAAAAAAATAAGAATATGAGTGGCATATTATACAAAAGGTCAATTGAATATACAAGTGGAATTTCATTTAGAAGAGGATTTACAAAACAAGAATTTTCGGATTTCGTAGAAATGGTACACAGTTTTTTTGGTCGGGAACGAGAGAAAGAGAAAAGAGAGAAAAAAGAGAGAAATAATGAGAGGAAGGAAGAGGGAGAGATAGTGAGAGGATTGGAGAGAATGAGAGATCATCGGAGACTCCAGAAATGTTGATGGCATTTCGCCAAATCGAATAAAACGGCACTATTTATTAACAGAGTTAGTCAAATAAATCACAATCACGTAGTAGCGTTCAACAGCGTGAATGCACGAAATATGAATGTGTTCTAAAGAGCCGCATTTTATGAGCCAAATCAACAAACAGCAGAAGCACAAGCAGCCGTAGCAACAAAAACAACAACGGCTATGCTCTGTGTTATGCTGTGTGACACAAAATGTGTGTATATATAAAACTATCGATGAAAACAGCTGATGCAGGCCGTGTTCGGTGTTCACCTCCATTGAAACTGACAATTTTACACACGAAGAAGCTCAAGCCAATGCGAAACAGGTGTCTGTGTATGAAGCGTGCATATAGATGAAATACAATTTAGCAAACGCGCTCTCTTTTCTTCTCTCTCTCCCTTTCTCCATGTGTATTCAATCATATTTTTCTCTGTTGCGCTCACTCACTGCTATTTTTATATTCGTTCGCTAAATGTTAAATAGTAACGATTTATTGGTGTCTATTTCTCGATATTTATCTATAAATAGCGATATAGAAACAAAAAAATTCATCTGCGATGACATTGCTCAATGGCATGTTATTTTGCCACGGTGCGGAACAATGTTATCCGATCACCGTTTGAAAACAGTTTCGATGATTTTTTTTCTCTTCTTGCTAATTTATGAAAGATCACACACAAAACACGGCCTGTGTCAAAGCCATGATTGTGTCGAATGACACGCGTATTGGGTCATATCGATTGGCACATTTAGCACTTGTTTTTTTTATGTGAATGTTGTTTATCATGCTGCTGGCAAAGCAATCAATCTATCGGATCTCCATTGTCTCTTCATTGGCCATAATTCATTTTTTTACTCTTCACAGAAACAAATTGCCAATGAAAAATGCCCGAGAGTACAAAGCTATCAATTTCAATTACACTGAATGGATTCGTTTAACTCTTCATTTTGGGCGGAAAAAAAGCCAGAAATTCAACTGATTTGAAAGAAAATACGTTTTTTAGTTGAAAATTAAAAATTTTCTGCCAAAACGACGAGGAGAGGAAAAAAAGTCACGAAGAAGCGTCACACATCATTCAACAGCCGGAAACGAAGCCTTCTGTTACTGTTCTTGATGTTAACTGACTGATGATGGTGCAATAAACTCTCTTTTTTCCTACGCTCTTTGTTAGCCAAAACACCACAATACATTCAGCGGGCTTTTGTAAGCCCAAAATGAAAAAAAAAATGGTGATGGTAAAAAGAGAATGAGACAGAACTTCAAACAACATAACGAACTTTTTTTTTGCGGAGAAAATAAGCAGCTGTGCGGTTTAATTTACGTTGACGGTGTGGTTTTTTTTCTGTTTTGTTCGGCTCATGAGTAGAGTAATATACATATATGAAATGTGTATAATTTGCATGTGAATTTTTTCTGCCCATTTCGTATTGCCTCACGATAGGTTGTGTGACGGTGCGCGTGGCTCGACACTAATTTCATTGGTGATACAATCAAACAGAGAAGAAGATCGAACAACGAGAGAGAAAAATCAAACAATCAAAATTTGATGCCATTCAAATATTGGTGAGAACCGATGAAGAGAGAAAAAAAAAACAACACAAGATTGAATCAATTGTTGGTTGCTCTTCACAGTAGCATATCGATTGTATCGCTTGATGAAAATTGGCATCGGGGTGAAAAGACCAACCAAATTGATGGGTTGAGTTGAGCTCAATTTTATTGCCACACAATTATTACCAAATCTCCTCTCTCTCGCTCTCTCTCTCTCTCTCTCTCTCTCACTCAGCGCCAGTTTGATTTTGATCATGGGTGTTACACGTGCAATTGCCATAAATGCAATCGAATCGATTTGCGCACATTGCTCAATCAAATTCCAATGTGGCATTTATTTTATTGGCATTACAAAATACGTAAGCAATTGGTTCATATTGTTGGGAGTTGAGAGTTCACAAAATTCGAGCTCAACATCAACAAGCGTCAATTATTGTTCGAGAAAAAGAGAGAGAGAGAGAGAGAGTAAGAGAGAGAAAACTAAATTTGCACGAATTTCTCTCGTGAAAAGCATCAGCTGAAACGCCATACCTAACAATGTTGCTATGCGCAAGTTATAACTGCCAAATCTTTCATGTAATTTAATTTGTCATGTGATTCATAAATCAACGATATTTTTCATAAATTTTCGGAATTTCCTCTTGTTTCATACATCGGAACGCAATTTCTACTCTTTCTTTATCTCCATCCAATGTAATAACATTTCTATTTCGCCTAAAAGCATAACACTATAAATATCATCATAAAAAAGTAGACCGCATCGCAATTACAACAATGTGTGTATCTTACCTTTGAGCTGCTCCGTATTTGCTTTTTTTTAGCTTCGTTATTTCTTTTGCCTCCTCACTAAAAGTTGCATTATGATTTTCCATAAAGAAAAAAGCGAAGAAAAACAATCTTCACGCTTCGAAAGCGCCATATGTGAGCACATTTCTTGGTACCAGCGAACCGCTTCTTGCCATCGAAATCGAATGAATGAATGCCTCAAGTTTATCGTATGCGATTTTCAAGAGGTTTTTCGATTTCTTGTGCTGATCGTGTGTCTATGCAGGTTATCTTGCAGCAATTTCACTCTTTGCATTTCTTTTCTTCTTCTTCTATTCAGTGCGATAAACATTGTTGTTTTTTTCTCTGCTAAAAGCCCATGAATCCATAGCCCGTGAACGAAGTCAAAATACCGCATAATGTTTATGATAAAACCCAAATGAAATTAGGGAAAAACATAGATTTTTTTTCTTTCTTTCTCTCTCAATTCCAAGAAATCACTTATGGCATGCATGTTGGAATCAAATAAAATCGGAACATGGAACTACATAAATGAATCCATAAAGTTCATCAAGTAGTTTCGCTTTCGTTTCATTTTACAAAGTTTTTGAATGAATTTCAAACTCGTAAATCATCATTAACGAACGAACGAACGAACGAAAAAGGTATGGCCATTAGAGTGAAATATTGATTATTGCCCTTCCGAAAATGAAGATTTTTGTGTTTCCATCCATTACTTCCAACAATTTGAAACAACAATAAAAGGCTATAAAACAAGAACTCGAATAAAATGCCGGTTTACCTCGATGTTGAACCGATTGATTGAAATGTAGACGAACTTTATTTATTCATGAGACTGGTGAAGAGCTTCAAAATGTCACACATGATAGCATTCTAAGTTTTTCACATTTGAATTTGCCACCATATTGGGTATATTCCATATTGATGTTGTATGTGAGAATTTCCAAATAGCTGCCAGCTGATCACTTACTTGAGTTAAGCAGTGATATAACTATTTGGAGCTATATGGTAGTATAAGAGCTTGATGCCGGAATCGAGTCACAATTACACAAAGCAACCATTCGAAAAATACCACTCCTCGAACAAAAAAAAACGTATTTTGGAATTAACGTTGTAATGCTTCAAAAGACATTCACTTACCGTCACATGTTTTTGTTTTCTATTGGCTTTTAACCTTTGGACACACATTTAATGTGTCTGAAAAGTTAAACATCCGTTAGTGTTTAGTTGTTGGCAACATAATCGTTGCAATCAGCAATGCAATAAAATTGTCTTTACTTTAATTGGTTTTTACTAAGCACAATTTTTTCTTTCTCTCTCTTTGATTTCACCAACGCACACATTCAGACGAGGACTGACGCCGCCGCATCGAGTGAAATCGATTTCGATGGCCACATTCACAACGGAAGAAATAGATTTCATCAAAGCGCATGGGAATGAATTGTGTGCAAAAACGTGGCTCGGCCTATGGGACCCGAAGAGAGTTCATACGCAAGACCAACGTGAACTGATCATCGACAAATACGAGCGGAAACGGTAATTTGTGAATTAGAGTAAAATTTTTGTGTGATTTTCACTTTGATTTGGACTGACATGTGTCTTTTTTTTTCTCAACACGCACACAGATATTATTTGGAACCGGCCAGTCCACTGAAATCGATTACGAACACAGCTCAATTAGCGCCTTCGCAGAAACAACAACAAACGCAATTAAATAGCGCAACACTGCTAACAAATGGAACGGCTAAATCGATTGAGGAAAATAACAGCAATTTGTGGACATCAAATGCAAGCATGAATGGTAAAACGTCCAACAGCAGCCGATGGAAAATGGATTTACTTTCATCAAACGATAATAACAGTCTGTTCAATAATCACATCTCCGCCCCTGTCGCCACCAACGGCACTCGCCCAAATGGTTCCACTAACAACACCAACGGTACTAACGGACTTAGTTTAAACGGTAATAAATCGATGGATGCAAAAACGAATGGTTTCCATCTACCACCACCCGCTTCAAATGGTGATAAGAACAACAAGAATCTATTTACGCCCGATACGGACTTTGTGGCCGATTTCAGTTCGGCCAACATATTCGATGCCTTGAATAACAAACCATCCATTAATAAGAACAACACGAGTAGCACAACAAACAAACCGATCCTATTGCAAGGAAATGGACATTCAAATGCAAACCACCATGCGAATGGCATTGAATTAACAAATGGCAATCGGACAAATGGCAACACAACAACTGATGTAAATAAGAATTTCGATGAAAACTTTGCTGATTTCGAGCACAATACCATTTATAACGCAGCAGGTGAGTTCATTGCAACGCAAATAATCGCCTTTCTGGCGATGATAAACGATTCACACCCTTTTCTGAGGGCAAAAAAAAACAAATCGTAGATTTAATATAAATGACCCGCACATCACAGCAATAAATTGTTTTGTGTGTGTGTGTCGGTTGTCGGCACATTGCACTCGTACGTGACTACGTGCCCAAAAACTTAAATTTAAACTCTTGACAGCAACACAAAAAATGAAACCTCTTTTTTTTTCTATTTGGTCTGAATATTCCAATTTAAATGGCATTTCCATTTCTATCCCATTACGGCTTTTGTGCAACTCTGTTCCGCTGAACCGACGACAAATTTTCGAACGACATACATTTTTCCAAACCAAAAAAAAACAAATTCAGCCATTGAGAATCAAAACAGCAATTACTTCAATAGTTTTAGCTACAATCACAATAGCACCAATTCGAACAATGGTACAGCAAATACTCAGTGGAGTGTTTGGCAACAGTTTCCATGGCCATATATACAACCAGAACAAAATCGATGGAGTAAGTGTGTGTGTTTGGTTTGGCTTGACTCGTTTTGTGCTTTTATTCCCGCTCAACGCCGTTCATTTCTTGATTTTTTTTCTTTCGTTGTTGTTGTTTAGTTTAAAATGCATTTTATTTATTGGGTGACATAATCATGTTTTTTCGTTTTCATTTTGTTTACCTTTTGATTTTCTCATTATCTTCGTCATTACGAGTTATTGTTATTATTTATGCATGTTTCTTGAATGTTGATTTGTCCACTTCGATGTAGTTATTGTATTCTTTTTATTTATTTTCGTAGCCATTGTCTTGTCACGACAACGTTCGATGATTACAAACATTACCATAATCGATCCATATCATAAATGCTGCATTTTTCGTTCTTCGGTTTTATAGTTTTGAGTGAATTTATGTAGTTATTATTTAAAACCATGAAAACACGATGCTAATCTCTTTGTTTGATTGATTGTTACAGGTCTTCCGATGTCATTGAGCTCAACGAGTAATTCGCTAAAATCAAGTGGTACATTTAATTCCAATTCATCCATCAATTCAACACCATCGGTGGACCGATATGCAGCTCTTAAGGATTTAGACGAACAATTGCGCGAAATTAAGGAGAAAGATACCCATAATCAAAATACTCTAACAGCTGCCACTCCAGCAAACCCATTCAATTTGTCATCGTCACCATCAGCGCAACCAAATCCATTTCAAACACAGTCGGCACCACTTTGGTTTGGCGACCAACAAGGCCTTACCACTCCAGCACAGCCCATGTACCCGATGACAAATGGCATGACCAATGGCAATGGCAACGGATTTCATGATCAGTCAACATTCGGCATGAATGGCATGAATGGATCCGTTTTCAATGGAAACGGACTACACTATCCAAAGGTTACCGACACTAATTTGTTCAACGGCTCGTCGTTGAACATGAACAATGGCTTTCCACAAAAGAACCCATTTGCGGTAAGAACCATTTTCTCTTTCTTTTCTCTCTTTCGCCCTATCTTTCACTTTTATCTGACCCATATTTCTAATGAAACATCTCTTATTCTCTTTTTGCAACAGGCTCCAGTATTAAATGCAACCACGAACCCGTTTCTATGAATCTCGTTAAACGAAGCGGGACCAGTCAAATACAGCAATGAATACGATCACATCCAAAACTAAGCTCTACTTTTAATCGATACTCTTTTTTTTCTTCTTTTGAACAATTTGCTTTGAATGTCAATCGTCGCGAACAAACAGAAACCAACAACACACAACACAAAATAATGTTTTTATTTGATTATTTTGTCATGAATGCAAAAATTTCTATTGAAACAAGTGAGATCTTAATGTTAAACTGCTAGTTAGAGGTGCAAAAGAAAGCGCAAATAAAAAACACGAAGAAGATGTGCACCAGTCGAGCGCAAACCTTTCTTTTTAGACATGTAAAAGGAACGCAGGAAATGTAGTTTTAGTTTTGCTAATTTACATATTTTTTTTTTTCAACAAGTGTTTTTGTTAACCCTTCCCCTTAATTTACATATATACATATATACTCTAAACACCATTTTGTTCCCAAAAAAAAGCAAAAGCGAAAAAAAACATGCGAACAAGAACATGGCTTGAAATCTCTGTTTATACCTATTTATTTTAATTTTAACAAGGAATCTTGGGAATACATGTACATTTTCAGAATTTTCTCTAATTGTATGCTGTTTTTTTTTTCAAATAAAAAAACCAATCGATGTCATTTTGATGATTTTCAAGGGAATGAAAAAAGAGCAAAGAGATACGTAAATAACGAGCATCGTACACGACTTCGGGAGTATTGTGGAAGAGAGAGAGACAGTGACAAGAACAAAAGAAACGATTTTTTTAAGGATTTATAGAATTAGGTTTAATATACTTCCAACTGTATTAATGATATAAAACAGTTTGAATATGCCATGGATGGGTGGTTACTTTGTTCGTCATTCACATATATCTCTGAAATTTCGTTTGCGTGCAACATCGCAACTATTCCAAATGTGATTATCACATATGCTCTCAGTCGAATTGCAATCACTAGCAATCTTTTCAATTGTCTTGTCTTCTGCATGTACGGAAATCGAGAAGAAAATTCAGCAAGGAAAAATAAACTCTATCGAATCGAACGCTCAATTTCGATATCAGACTATTTTAGTTTTTTCTTTATTTCGTTACACAATAAAACTTAGATTCCAATCAATTTTGCGTTTATTCACTTTCTTTTGAATGATTTACACGAAGAAAAAAATTTAACACAAAAAAAACAACAAATTTTTAATTTAGGTAGACACATTTTTTATTTTCAATTCTCTTCTGTTTTTTTTTAAATTTAAACATATTTTTATTCAAATCAATTTATTATTATAGTTTGATTCTTGATTCAGCCAAAAATGTAAATGGACAAATGTAATAAAAGGAAATAAATTTACGAAAATGTAACAAATAAATGTTTGCCGACACAAATCGTCACCAAGGAAATTGAATTGATATCCTATTTTTATCATTAGAGAAAGTAATGAATATATTTACCTTAAACATCATGGAAGTCGATGATGAAGAAGAAGAAGATACGACCAAAATTTACAACAAACGAATTGATGACAAAATTTGCAGTAAATCTTAAGTTTTTACGCTTTGAGGCCTTAGGTAGAAAGAAAAAAAACGCATGTGTTTAATTGCCGATAGAACAAAAATATTTGCCTAAATTTTGAGATTAGAACTTTGATGAAATTGAAAACGTTTAGAATCGAATGGGCTGCTTAATTCTGATTATATCACAAAAACAATGGATCATCTTTGCTCGCATACACTTTTCGTTTTATCGAATCAGTGCAGATTTTCTATCCTGTGGTAATTACCAAAAAATTATGATTTCATTTTTTCTGGGTTATCGTGAATTGAAAAGGCGATTTGCGTGTGCTTGGTTCAAACAACAACGTGTGGTTTGATTTAAAGTAGTTCAACTAATGGAGCGACAGTTGTTTCATTCATCCATCATTTAGATTCAATCGATTTAAACGAAACGAAGGATTTTTTTCTTTAAATCAAATAAAACCAAAAAAAAACAACACAACAATCTGCAAACAACCAATGCAAAGTCGAAATGAACTATATGAAAAAATAGTATTTTTATTCATATTGTAATGTGTCTTTGCTGTACATGATATAAACTGAATTATTTAATAAACCGCTCATAATGCTATTTTTTCCTGAAACGATCAAATATTTGAGTATTTTTTGTGGGAAGTAGTTCACACATGAGAAAAGACTCGATTAATCCTTACAAGGAAGTATTTTTTCTTCGTAACAAAAGTTGGAAAAAAAACAACAACAGGAGGTTTCATTTAGTATTTTATTACTAATTTTCAAAGAAAAAAGTCAGTACACTCTACATACGGTTAATATATATATATATATTATTATATGTAGAGATACAATTAATTCTTCAATCCCCTTCCACAGTATTTCTATAATCCCTGTAGATAGCTGTGTTTAAAACGGTCCATGAAATCTAAGGATGACGGAATCATCATCGAAACTTGTGTTCGATAGTTTAACGGTAAAAAGCAAGCCCATCTGTATGAAGCATATACTGGTTAAACCATTTTTTTGGAATTGAAGCTATTTCTTTGGCGCCGTAATGACCATTCGGTTTGATTCGGCGGAAAAAATGCATTTCAAATATTGTTGCAAACAAATAATTTGGTCGTCTCTTGATTTGGTCGTTTGTGATTCTTCCTACGTTCCTGCCCGTTATATTTCATACTGTAGCTCGAATTTAACAGCAAATTATGAAAAAAAAACTAAAACTCAAAACTCAAACAGTCGTTTTCATTTATTAAATTTAAAAATATATATGAATTCAACGACTTAACATTACCCCTCCCGAGCACAAAATTGCATTGATATACTCCACCTCTGGTAACACTAGTATAGACGTTGCTGCTATAAAAAAAACTGCTCGAAAAAAAAAACTCAACATGCTGTGTGTAAGTGTCAAAGCGTGTTTGACGTTTCCATGGTTTATTCTGCCGACATCGACATCAGTTGAAGAAATTGTGGAAAGAAAAGTATTCAGAATCGAAAGAAAACACTTGAAAAGCGATGGCGCCCACCATCCAAAATGGAAATAACGCGACCAGTGCCGAAATCCGGCCACAACGACCGATTGAGAAAAAGTAAGTAAAATTTGTGTGTGTGTGCCTTGTTTGTTGGCAAACAAAAGCCAAGTGGACGCTAGATAACCGCGCAACAATGTACAATTCACCTCATTTCGATGTGTTTATTTTAGGTCGGAGTTGATTTCCCGTGTAAAATACTGTAACACATTGCCGGACATTCCATTCGATTTGAAATATATCACGTACCCATTTGCCAATGATCGATTCGTTCAATACAATCCGACGTCACTTGAACGCAACTACAAATATGAAGTGTTGACAGAGCACGATTTGGGTGTCACAATCGATTTGATCAATCGCGACTTGTATCAGTCCGATCCAAATTCACAGCTGGACCAAGCCGATGAAAAATTGCTCGAGGAAGAAGTGCACACCGTGGCCGACTCGCAACGTTCACGTCATCACGCCAAAAGTGTGTCATGGTTGCGAAAATCGGAATATATTTCGACGGAACAGACGCGTTTCCAACCGCAAAACAATGAAAAAGTCGAGGCAAAGGTCGGTTTCAATGTGCGCAAATCATTTGTCGAAGAAACATTGTACATGGATCGTGAAGCTCAAATCAAGTCCATCGAAAAAACGTTCGAAGAAAATAAAAAGCCAATCGAACGCCATTACAGGTAATGAACACAAATTTTGAATAATAATTTTTTTTTATTCAGACAAATAATGCTTTTTGTTGCTTTTAGCAAGCCAAATGTCACAGCTGTCGAGGTTCATCCGGTGTACCCAGATTTCCAAAACTGGAAATTTCCATTTGCTCAAGTTATATTTGACAGTGATCCAGCACCAGCTAACACTAACAAACATGTGACAGCACAAATTGAAGAAATGTCTCAAGCCATGATACGGTTAGTAATTGATTGACGTTGAGATGTAGTTTTCGTTAATTTTTTTTTTAATTTCGAGAATCTAATGAGTTTGTCCTGCATTTAATTCCACAATATAATGAAAATAATGCATTTTCAATTCGGTTTGCAGAGGTGTGATGGACGAAAGTGGAGAGCAATTCGTTGCTTACTTCTTGCCAACAGAAGAAACGCTTGAAAAACGTCGCATGGATTTGATTAATGAAATATTGTACGAAGACGACCAGGAATATGAATACAAAATGGCTCGTGAATACAACTGGAATGTCAAGAGCAAGGCATCGAAAGGTTATGAAGAGAATTACTTCTTGGTTATGCGACGAGACGGTGTTTATTACGATGAACTCGAAACTCGTGTACGATTGAACAAACGTCGACAAAACATTGGTCAGCAGCCAAATAATACAAAGTAAGTTGGACTCAACTTACAAGCGAGTTGAAATCAAATTAACGAAAATTAACGTGATATTCTCAATAGATTGGTAGTCAAGCATGTTGCATTGAACGAAGGTGAGCATCGCTTGCAACGCTATCGTGAAAAACAATTGGAACCACCGGGTGAAGAGGAAGAAATCGAAGAGATCGAAGAAGCTGAAGAAACCGAGCAGCTCATGGACACTGAAAAGGAGGCGGACAGTCAAGAAAATGTTGAGGTTGAGAAGGAAAATGATGACAAAGAAAAACCAGACGGCAACGAAAGTGACCATTCTGGAAAATCACGTTCGTCCAGGTCACGATCGCGCTCAAGAAGCCGCAGTGCATCAGGTAAGCGGCTTTCTATTTTAATTACAAATAAAATTCATTGGAGCGTCGTTATTGTTTCAACGTTGATGTCATTTCAATGAAAAATTATGAATTTCAAAGCAGTTGCGTTTGACCGAACGTCTGTTTTTTCAAACCAAATTAACATATATGTTCCGATATCTAATGTTATAATCTTTTTGTAGGCTCTCGATCGCCAAGCCGATCACGCAGCGGAAGTCAAGCTTCACGTTCCCGAAGTGGTAGCGCCGCATCGAACCGAAGTGGTTCGGCCAGAAGCCGAAGTGGTAAGTGAAGACGAATATTCTCCTTTTCATTTGTCAATCCAATTCAAATTGTTGAATTTTGTAGCAGTCCAATCTACATTCAATACTAAATCTGACACTAATTTCAAACGCCAATTAATCTCTTGCAGGTAGTAGATCTCGTTCAAATTCTCGCTCACGTAGTGGAACGCCAGCATCGAACCGTAGTGGTTCCGTTAAAAGTGGTAAGAAATAAGATTTTCAAAATTTATTTGAAGATAAATTCATAACGAAATTCCAGGCTCGAGATCACGTTCACGCAGTGGTAGCCCAGCGTCTAATAGAAGTGGATCGGCCAGAAGTAGAAGTCGTGAGTATTGCTTTTTCATAACATATCAAAAGCTGCTTAATTCTCATACAAACTTTCTTTATCAACAGATTCTCGTTCGTCTCGGTCGCGTTCACGATCACACAGTGGAAGTGCTCATTCACGAAGCGGCTCAGAACGTAGCCGTAGTCGCAGTGGAAGTCGTAGTGCCTCCGGTTCGCCGAATCGTTCGGGCTCTGGTTCCGGATCAGAATAGAGCATTTATTAGGATGGAATTAACCACGACACAATTTGTTCACATCAAATCAAGGATATTTGCTTACCGATTGATTTTATCTGAAAAGAAACGGATTAAGTTTGTAGTCAAATGACCCAAATACACCAGACATCAATTCCACCAAAAACGTTTTTTTTTTCTTTGAATTTTATTCAACTTCTAAAATCATCAAGAAATTTAAAATTAAATCACAAGTCAAAAGCTATAGATTCTTAATTAAGAAACTTAAGTTTCAATTGATCTTTCAGTTTTTGTGATACATCAACGTAGAATTTATCAGTTCCAAACGATAAGATCAAATCTCGTAATTTAGCGATGTTAACTTTGTCTCTGGCAGCCGTCCAAATGGTGAACGTTGTTCTGTTTGCTTACTTTGTCAAAGAAAAAGTAAGGTGTCTTTATTTTCTGCGGCGATAGCGGCACAAATTGGAAATGTAGTCGGATGATTGGATCCATTGATATGCTTTTCTTCAATGGTTTTGATCATGGGTCATGGCGTCAACATGATTTTGGCTGTATTTGGTGTTGAGAGTCCAAAATGGTAGTTCGAGAACTTTATTTGAATTTGTAGCCCATTCAATTGATAATGTTACACTTTTTAGCTCTTCAACCGTTTTAACGACTTTATTGAATAGGTTGACATTCACCGGTTTTGGTTTGCTCCCTCTGCCTGGACCAGGAATAATATCAGCGTTTATCCAAACAGGGGCATTTAGCTATTTACAAAATTGTACAGCTAAAAATATTGCCTAGATTTACAATTGTTTGATATTCATACACACATCGTTTCCTCTTAACATGAATACTGACTGTTGCACGGCTTCGATTGTCTTATAATCAAGTTTAATGCCTTTTTTATTGTTATCACCATTGTTGTTGTGTTCGACAACGGCGGTCAAGAACTGTTCCAACGATTGAACAAATCACCGGTCATTAAGAATGCAGCCTTGAATGTATATTATGTTACAGTGGACCTCTCTCACGCTAGTTTCACACAATTTTTAATGAGAATAGAACCAAAGCTCAATTAACTTTGTATCAAAACCTTTTCAAACTATTTGATTAATTTCGAAACCTTGAAAAAGCCAAGTATCGTTTAGTTTCATTGGGCAATTAGTTATTGCTCAAATACAATCGATAGAAGTCTATTATTTTAAACCATTTCATGGTTCTTTGTCAGCACGAACAGTGTTCCATTCTATGTTCTCTATTCCTTCGATGAGGCAAAGCGAAGAAATATTAAAATGAATCTGCAAAACTCAGTCAAGATGAAAATTGTCAACAGATACCGTTCAACAGTAAGATTCTCACATTTTCTGATTCCTCCCAAAAACTATATTATTGTTCGATTCCGTTTAGATGAAACTGATTCCACTGCCGATACGCAGGTTTTTCACGGATTATTGTGACAACAGCAATATTCATGGCGTACGATATTTCACCGAACGGTTATTACACTGGAGCGAACGGTAAGAGATTTGCATTTTGAATCGATTTTATAACAATTGCCAATCATGTCTAACCTTCTAAACAATTCGTTTGAGTCAGACTTTGGTGGATAGTTTTCGTAGCGGCGTCGCTCTGGCTATGCGGAATAATGATCAACAATATTTGGAACCAATGGCAACGAAACCCAGTGACAATCAGCCCATCAGAGAAGAAAATCATCATGACAATTCCATTTCCGACTGTAACCATTTGCCCAGAAATACCGACAACAACATTCGAATTTGATATATCGGCGACACTAAAACATCTACCAAATCTCAATGATAGAAAGTAAGCAAAGCAGCTAAATTTCAAGATTCAGTTTATGATAAATCTATTATTAACTCAACAGTACAGAGATCAATATATTGAGTGCATTTGCGCATGTTTGCCCACGTCTACCGGAATTGATTGATTTCAAGGACAATTTCACGAATGAAAGCATATACCAGATATTTCGAATGACTGAGGAGAAATTTGAGAGACAGTTGTCACAATGTTCGTGGCTTGAACAAGTTAGGGATGGAAGTGATTGTGGTCAGTATGTGGCACCCGTTTTCACCGACAACGGCATTTGTCTCACCTTCAATGCTCTCAACTCATATGATACATACACGGATCAGTAAGTTTTGCTAATCATTATTGTCGAGGTTACTGTGCATGCAATGTAATGTGCATCGTGCATATTAATGCATATTCGACATGTCCGGTTTTTTCAATGGTTATGTTCGGAATTTTTGAACAGAATCGCCCCGGAAATGATTACCTTAAAAAGCAAACCAAATGTTTCTTACTGGAGTTTAGATGGTGGATACACAGATAAATCGATAATGATTCATGATCCATACCCAATGCGCACTGGTATCGCATCTTCAGGCCAGAGTTTTGCTTTGAAATTATCAGTGTCACAATACGAGTTCGAATATAAATGTAGTGGCATCTATCAAGGGTTCAAAGTGATTTTGACAACACCTGGCGAAGCATTGAAAATGTCGCAAAATTCCTTTCGAGTTCCTCTTTCAGAAAAGACCATGGTTACGATCAATCCGAAATTGATCACCACATCAGAGGGTTTGCGTAGCTACGAGCCGAATCAACGGCAATGTTTCTATCAACATGAGCGCCAACTGCGTTTCTTCAAATTGTATACCCAGGCAAACTGTGAAGAAGAATGTCTGGCAAATTTTACGAAAAACGAGTGCGGATGCGTCAAGTTTTCTATGCCCAGTATGAACCTGTTGAGAAATTTCACAGCGAAAGAGCATTTCAAAATGATAAACTTGTTCTTTTGCAGGAGATAAAAATACAAAAATCTGTGGCGCAGCAAAAATCAAGTGTTACAATGGAATTGAAAGTAAGTTTTGGTCAAGCGAGAGCATCAAAGCGTTTCGTGACAAATGCAATTGTTTGCCAGGATGTACTTCGATTCAATACAATGCTGAGATCGATCGATACAAGATAGATATGGAAATTCTTTTTAAGCATGTTGCGCAAAGCCCGGAAGAACAAGAACTGTATGCTTTTCTTTAGAATACTACACACAAATGTAATAAATGCTCAATTTGACTTTGGATTTTAGATTATCACAAGTTAGATTGGTAGATTTAGTAGTCTTCTATAAAGATTCTGAAATCGATACTATGACGCGGAGGGAAGTTTACACAGTTATCGATTTCTTGGCAACATGTGGTGGTTTGCTTGGATTATACATGGGCATTTCGGTGTTGAGCATCATCGAGCTTATTTATCACTCGACTTTTCGTTGGTTTTGGTTCATTCGACGTTCTTCAGCTGTGAACGATGTGGCATCGAATCGAAGCAAATGGATCAATTTTATTCGTTCCAAAATTATTGGGCCAATCAAAGCTTTTTTTGCCGAAATATGTAACAAAAGTAGTATCCATGGCGTTCGATATTTCACCGAGCGATCTTTGCATTGGAGTGAGCGGTTAGTTCACGAATAGTTCTCTTAAAATATTTCTGAGCGATATTCAATGCTATCCTTTATTCAGATTTTGGTGGTTGATCTCTGTCGGGTTGTCGTTTTGGCTATGCAGTTTGATGATCCGAAACGTGTGGAATCAATGGCAAGAGAATCCAGTATCCATGTCTGTTACCAGGAATGTGCCCATTTCAACGATCGCAATTCCAACTCTTACAATTTGTCCAAAAGTTAAAGCAGTCAAAAATAAACTGAATTTGGCGAGTTTTACGGAGTAAGTGCGTTTTTTACTTCAGAATTTTCGCAAAGTGTAACACTTAGCCTAAAGCAGACGTGGGCACAAAAACTGCTGAATATTTTTTGGAATAGAACAATATTTTTGTTGGTCCCTTTAAATTCTAAACGTTCAATTCGCATTGAACGTGCAGAAAAGTAATGCAAATGACGACGATAATAACTGTAACTTTAACTGTATTTGTACTTTAGAGATGAGGATCCGAAATTGTCTGACATGGAGTAAGTATGCTTTAATGAATATCAACTCTTCATACGTCACAACATTTTGTGATATGTGTGACCATTTGTATTTTCTTCCAGAGAACTTCGATTGAACTCATATTTACAAGTGTGCAGTGACATAAACATAAACTTCATTTCTACGGAAAATTTTCGACGGGTAAAACGGTGTATTAACTTTTAAAATCAAATATGGCCCCATCTAAATTCAATTCAAAGGAGGCTTCAAAAATAAATTTTATAAGTTTATTCTAATTTTAGTCCAGTTCATTTCTGAATGAATCCATATATGATGTGATTCAAGAGATCGCACCACAGTTGAATGACACATTTTTTAAATGTTGGTGGAAAAACGAGTTAAGCGACTGTTCCAAGTATTTTGTTCCAGTTTTGACTGATCAAGGCTATTGCTTCTCTTTCAATGATCTAAACTCACATGAGATATATACTGATTTGTAAGTTTGGTTCCCATTTGATTTCAACAGTAGAAATTAATTGGAACTATCCAAACCTAGAATGGCTTCGGAGATGATGAATCTGAATACTAATCCGAATGTGTCGCAATGGAATCGCGAGAGCGGATATAAGTCCATAAAAAGCAAAGCTGAATATCCGATTCGCTTATCTGAATTAGGTGGAGAAACTGCTCTCCGAATTGCACTCAGAACTAACGAGGATGACTTCGATTACCTATGTGGTGGATTCGAACAAGAGTTTCGAGTGTTTTTAAGTACACCTGGCGATTCGTTATATGGTCAAACGCCTCTCAGCGTGTCCATTGGAGAAGACTCTCAAATGTTGATTTCATCCAAATTAACCACAACTTCTGATGGGCTGCGTCGTTATGCACCGCACCAACGTCAATGCTATTACAATTCGGAGCGTCCATTGACTTTCTTCAAACAATACTCCGAGCAGAACTGTATGGCTGAGTGTATGGCGACGTACATAAAAGACAAATGCGGTTGTGTGAAATTTTCTATGCCAAGTATGAGTGCATTATCCTTTGGATGCTTATGCATTCGTACTAGCTTATTTTTTCCATTTATTTACAGGAGAAAACAGTACAAGGATCTGTGGCAGGGACAAACTCGATTGTTACAGAAAAAATACACTCCAATTTCGCCTTGACCGTGTCGTGTATTCCAACAGTACATGTGATTGCTTGCCTGCTTGTATCTCAATTGAATACAATGTTGAAATTGATCGAGTCAAATTCAATACGACCGCTGCAAATAAAGTTAGCGGTCTCGAATCGGGGTAAAATAAAGAATCAAATGTCAATGGATCTATTTTCTTCTGCATCTAAAATCCGTTGAATATTTCAGAATTCACCAAACACGATTGTCCATTAGTTTCAATGATCGCGTGGAAACCGTGAAACGAGTGGAATTGTATACATTCTCCGATTTCCTAGCTATTTGCGGCGGTTTGCTGGGATTATTTTTGGGCATCTCCGCATTGAGCATCATTGAACTCGTTTACTACTTCACTCTTCGTTGGTTCTGGATTGTTCGACGCTCGAGAACCAGAAATAACTTATAATAATTTTGGACTTTCAATACTTTTACTTACATCGGTAACTTTTTGCATTATTCTATTGATTGCTGCACGGTTTGATTGACGGCATTTGCAATGAAACAGTACACATTTCACAAGATATTCATCGTCGATCATTTTTGCGAGTATTCATCTAACACAATTTCTCCTTTGGTTTGAGTGTAAAAGTAAAATGTTCAATGTATTTACAAATCACAAAATTCAATTTCAACTCATATTTTGTGTCACCCTAGATCTATTTATCAAGCCAAGTGAGAATAATTTCTTCTAAATGACTCTATCTATAATGATGGACGTTTTATTCGATTTAACTAAAGTATTTGTCAATAAATCAATTAATAAAATAATCAAGATAACTGTACTTATTTTATATAATACGTGTAAACAATACAAAAGCTACTGAAAATACACTGTCTTCAGTTTGTGGTAGGAATTACTTCCCATAGGTCTTTCAAAGTGAATCCGTCTTTAATTTTTTCCATGGCAAAACCAAGTTCTTTGCAATAAAATGGTGGTCGACGACCACTTTCCGTGCCTTCAGCCAGATATGTGGAGAATTTCGTATTGATTTCGTCCGTCTTCGATTCGTCAACTTCAGTGATTTTGTCGATAGAAATTGTGTCATCGTCACGTTCGGGTGCTTCCTGTTGTGAAATTTAATGTAAAAAGTCACATAAGTATATAATAATTTCAATCGATAGGGCAATACATTTGGATAATATAGAAACTAGCGTAGAAATTAATAGTGAATAAACCAAATAAGCAAATCGAAATAAGAAAATCTGTTTCACCTCTCTTCGTTCATAAGTTACGCCAAAGAGCGGTTTGGCGGCGTAAACCGAAAACAAAGAATCAAGTTCTTTGTAAACATCAACCAACCGGGCGGCCGGATCCACTCGAAAACCAAGCGTGTAGCCGCCACCAGTCTCAAGTGTTTGGATAACCAGAGCATGACCATATTTTGAGTCTCTGATTTTTATCTGTTTTGATTCAAAAATCACACATTAATTCGATTGTTTATGCTTTCTTTCTCTCATACCAAAAAACACTCACCGACGCAATTTGCATGTGTGGCAAACTAATGTTGAACGTTTCATTGATGTCAGCATACCAAATGACTCGAACATTTGTCACGATTAATGTACCCAAATTGCCTTGATCACTCGAAAGATTCCATATGCCGCCAAATGTACTGTAAACCTGCTCCTTTGGCAATAATTTCAAGTGGCCAGATGCCATAATCGCACTTCGTAGCTTGAGCTCTCTATACAGCACCGTCGATTGATACGATCTATAGATGTCGAATATAGACGAAAATTTGCGAGCATTGCTCTGCGCCAAATTGGTGAAAATAAATTCAAAACGAGAATTACGACACAAAGTCAAGATGTACAAGGCCAGCGTCGTTCCACGCAACTTTGATAGCACCGTTTTTGTTGACATTGTCAAGATACAATTGAAGCCAATCGCTGCAATAAAATATGCAAGATTATTTTCAATCCACTGATTCGCAGCCGTCTCCACTGTTCCACATTAAGTATACGCACATAAATTAAACTTATTGTTATTCAACGAATACCAGATTAGACGCAAATTCGTAACAAGCAATCGGCCTCTTTCATTCGGATTCCCCTTCGTATCTTCAACATAATCGAAAATATCCAAAATCTCTTCGCCACCACGGATTTTATGTTGTCTGCAATTGAAACATAAATTAAATTGCGAGACGTTTGAGAAACGAAGGCAAATGATTTTTTGTTTGATAAAACACAACACTTACATATTGATTATGTCAAATTTAACCTCGCGGTCTTGCCATACAACATACTCAAATCGATCCATTTTTATTATTTTTCCTTTATTCGGAATTATTTTTCGTCAAAAAAAACAATTTCCACGTACAACTTTCTGATAACAATGAAACGTGACGGTTGAATTGTTTGTTTTGATTGTCATTATCCGTTGTTAGGTATCGAGCCGTATCCAAGCATGCGCATGACATACTCAACACAGGCGGCGAATTTAAAGGTGAAAAAGTAGCAAAAAATACATTTTTCTATTCATTTATTATGATTTGATTATAGCTTATTCAAATGAATTCTTTCGATGTGATTGATGTATGTGTGCTTAAAATCACTTTATCAAAGCCAAACACTAGACTCACGTCCTGTACATAGCTCGTAAGAGCGTTGAATGTAATCAAAAATACCAATAAAAATAATCGCAGTATTTTTTGGTGGTTGGATAACATCAAGTTTGCAACACACACTTGGTGCAGTCGTTGTGTTGCCTCCTCTATCAAGTTTCTATTTATAGTTCCAGATTGTATTCGAAATGAATCCTCACTGATGTAGCTTACCCAAAGGATTTTGCTGCACTTTTACTCCGTTCAAATGGATAATGTTATTTCCATAGTGACTATCTGCTCAACAAGAAGTTATTGTTACGATCATTATTATTATCATGATTGCATCAAATATTCAATGACAAGCCTCAATGGATACGAATGCAGTCGACCATTTCTGGTTATTATTATGTTTTGCTTATTGATTTGTCCAATTTCATAAAAAGCATCTGCTGATAAAAAAAATCAAGTAGATTGCAAATTTGTTACATTTGCTTGGAAAATATGTGTCCGTATGTAATCTGATATTCGTTGTAATGCGATGCAAACAAGTTTTCGTTTGTTATGAGATATATACATAAATGCAGTGCACAGATTGTTGATCTAAGTTCCAAGTTTATCGATATAAAATAGTTATAAAACGAGTGGTGTGGTATGGAAGAGTGCTGGGCTTAGCTCGAAAGAAATAAAAATAATAATGGTACAGGCATGTTGGGATAACTGAAAATGAACGGATGGAAGAGAAAAAAAACGTGTGAATATTTATACGTGAGTTGTGTTCGAGATTGCATTCGATGTTTTCCGTTATGTATAGCCAATTGTTACACATACACAAAAAAGAGCGAAAAACTAAGAGCATTTTCGAGTATGATTCGAAATTCCATACCGGAATCTACTTGTTCTCCGGTGCATTCAACCACTCGACTCCTTAAATCGATGCCAAGCTCATGTAATTTCAAGCAAATGCTTTTCAAACGATTTTTTTGGGAAATTCGAGAGTGGCAATGGTAATGATACAATGCAATTTGTACGAACAGTGTGCATTTCACACAGGTAAAAGTCGTGAAGAGTAATCTACGTGAATTGCATGGATTCCGTTTCGGTTGTATCCATATCACCGGTGCTAAGTTGTGTAAGACACAAAAGAGGGAAGAAAAAAGATTGGATTAGTCGAGCACGTACAAGCGATGAAATCGCTTTTTCCAAAGTCCGAATATTCCTTCGAAAATGAATCCAAAACTTACGGTGAAAATGAAATGTTTGGAAACTTCTGCTCGGTTTTTTTTTCTCCCTCTCTATCCAAGTTTTAGCCAAAAATTACCATTCAACTATCGACTTGCATCAGTTTGATCAAACAATCTGCACTATTTTCCCTTTGCAAAACTGTTTCGTTCGGCGATATCAAATGCAAGCGTAAATTTTTTGAATTGAATAGACGCAGTGGCAGAGAGCAATGTTATAAAGAATGTTCATCATTTTCTTCGCGGAAATAAATCACAACCATGATGAAAAGGTTCAACATGCAAAATGCAACGAACGAGAAAGAAAGAACATTGTCTGAAATTATGTTGAATCTCTAGAAAGCAATAGATTTTCACATCTTTTGCACTTGCTCATTTTTGTTCATTCTTTATAATGTTGTAAACTATTTACTTCAATGCACCGAGAAAAAAAATGTTGGAAATTCGTTACAATTGAAATATTTAGGATGTTCGTTCTGAACGAATGGCTGGAACGAACAGAGGTGCACTCGCATGATACAAACAAGCAGCGTTTATCATTATTTTGGATGAATATCTGCACAAAAATCGCAAACAACACAAAACCAATGTGCGAACCGTTACCCTTTTAGAAGGTCTCTTCACTATGACGTGAACATTGTTATAACGATGTGTTTATAATTATATTCTCTATGGGAACCAACTTAAGTGTATCATCATTTCACAAAAACCAACAGGCTCATTTCCGTTCTTCACCTAGCCCAAGATTAAATGTGCACAAAATGAATTTGAAACGTATGAGTTGGTTTTTATTTCATTCATTTATGGAGATATGCAACAAATGTAAAGCATTCAATGGAATGCATTCATGTGAAGACCGGCAATGGATGAGAGTTAACCTCACCTGACTCGTATATTAAAAATTCCTTTCCACAGAACCCAATTGATTATCCTTTGCCGTTGCTTTGTTTTGAAAATGAAGAAAAACAGCTCTTGTTTCGAGTATGTTTATTGTTTGCCGTATGATGTTTGCAACAAATTGTTTGCATGGAAATGGTTGCAAACGATTCGATGTCAAGCCAAAAGTCCTTGGTAATTTATTTGTCGTAAGTTTTGTTAATAATCGTTTTTCAGCGTTAGAACATTTCACATAAATGTGCCACAAAGAAACGGTTAGTCGCAATTACAATAGAGCGATTACGCCATTTTATTTTGTCATCACTTTAGGTAAACTCTATATACGTGTGAGTGTGTTTACACAAAATATCGAAATGAACGTTGAAAAGCGTAAATGTGAAACTTACATTAAGAAATGTGTGTAACGAAACTGATGATTAAAAGTATAATCGTTTCCGTGGCGACGAAATTCGAAAAACACTAAAATTTGTGTTTTCCACATACGAACGCCCGCCTCTTTTTTCTCTTTAATTTTTGGCTCTAAACATTCACTTGCAGGCTGTTGCTCATTTTGTTCTTGCTTTTTTGTTCATTTTCAATCCCAATGACCTAGTTTACGATTTTCATGCACGACCATAGACCTCTCTCCCTCGCACTCGCTCTCGCTTTCCTCGATTTTTTTTCTAGATACGCTTTGTTGCAACAAATTTATTGTTCTCAGCACTTTCCTTGCAGCAGTGCAACACTTATACCCCAACATTCTAACGGCATTTTTTTTGACAAGCATCGTTGTTCGCGTTGTTTGAACGTAGTGCAAAATTCGTAAAATTTATGGTGACAGATGAGAAAATAAGTTTTTCGATTTATTCACGTGTTTTTTTTTACTTTTTCAGTTTTAAATTTCGTTTTGCGTCGTTCAACTAATATGTGGTCTCCCTTTCTTGCATGTGGCGGCGTCCGAGTTAAATAGCCGAATGAAAAACTTGTGAACTCAAAACAAGTACACAACCAAAACTAAATGGCAAAGAGAAAGAAAACAAATAGCACAAGTTGCTAATAGCATCCACCGCCGAAACAAAATGCTCGTGAAGGGATTGTTGTACCGTGTGCGATAGGAAGAATGAGCCTGATAAAAAATTAACGCTCATTCGATTGCATTTCACGATGCAAGCAGAATAGATGGATATATAGACATGTTCAGGAAGTACTTTATGGTCCAATGTTTAGGTGCTGATGGAAAGCTTGAATTCAGTGGAAATCGGCAAAAATTTCAACTTCATGATATCCAAGCAATAAAACAATGCTTAAATTTATCGGCCGAAAATAATTTAAGTACACATTTATTGGCTATGCTTCTGCTGCATCAATTTCGATTCGATTTACAGATCCCATGCAACGGGTTTATTTTTACGACTCCGAACAACTATGCCAATGAAATGAATTTGAGACCAAATTAAATGTGTTCATAAAAACCATTTTATTTGTCTGATGAGAACAACTGTGTGTCGGCCGGAAGTGAGAAAAACGACATATATGAATGATGTTGTTGTTACAATGGACATGTTTAAATGGAAATATTTAGTGACTGTTCAAAATAATGTCAATCAATTTACTTCCAACGATGCAATGACAGAAAAAATATTCATTTTGTCACATAATCCAACCAAAATTCGATGGTCTTAATAAAGTTTTCATTTAACAACAACAAAAGTGATGCATAATTTTTGCACTTCATAAAATGGCATTTAATCGTAAATTGATTTCATGATGATTAAATTAACTGCGACTTAATTTAAAAAAAATTGATAAATTATTGACCAATTAAAAACGGTTTTGTTGTTGTTATTTTTTCCAACACTCCATCTAGCATCAACAAATGAATCAATCGGAACAAACATCGTTGTTGATTAATTGAACCGTTGCGACAAACAAATTCCCTAGATGGTTTTAGTTTCAAAGTGCAACATGAAATTTTTTTTTTATATAGAGTTTATAACAACAACTCCATATGAAAAAAAACTTTATGTTGCACTTCAAAACTAAAATATTCTGAGGGAATTTGTTTGTCGCACTGGTTCAATTACGAATTCAATTTGAAATGTTTTAATAGTTTTTTCCACGCTGTCGGGCTATGAGTTGATTGCAGAAAAAAAGATTAATTTGAATGAACATAAATTGGGCCGCTCTTCTAGTGCTACTCCCCATTTTTTTTATCGGCCTCACTGAATATTTATATGTAGAATGCGAGATGATTATTAAGATATTCAAATGATGACTACATTTGAAATTCCAATCGAATTTTTGTGTCTACAGATCGCTATATGCACATTGCACTGCACACACACATGTGACTGATCCACAAATACAAATGCGGCATCGGTGAACACAAACCATGTTCGAATGTGTTTTGCTGAATATCATCTATGCAGAACATACGAACTTCCAAGAGCCGCTCGGATAAAAAACAATTGTGCTTTTGACAATCGAGAAAATGATAAACAACTACGTGCCTCTCGCCACATGCTCGAATGTCGACTACGAAAATTTAATTTCACATTTGAACTGGAAAATTGTTTAGGCCACCGCAGGGCATATAATATATGATATATTTCTTGCCTAACAAATAAATTACATTTGATTTCTTCGG